GAGAATATATTTGAAGTCTGTTTTCTTCTTTAATATTGATTTTGTATTCTGCAGCTTTCTTATGTTTATTAGGTCCAAGGATTTTCTAATAGACTTTATAGGGTCCTGAAGTAAAGAAGGCTGGGGGACGGTTTGGCTTCTTCCTATCCTGTTTCTATCCTTGTTGTGTCTTTCTCACGTCTTACCACGTCTTACCGTAGCTATGACTTCTACCGCTATAGTGAACCAGAGAGGGATCAGTGGGCACCCATGCTTCACTCCTGATTTCAGAGGTCATGCTGCTTGTTTCTGTTTAATAATTGTTACCTGATGGTGTCATTCACACACACACACACACACATATATATGTATGTATGTATGTGTATATACACATATACATATATATCCTTCATTATTTAGAGATATGTCTATAATTAAAGTCTCCAACACTTTATGAAACATGTTAAACTCTGTCAAATATCTTTTCAGCAATCAATTGAACACCACGGTTTCTTGTCTTAAGTTTATTTAAATGGAGTGTTACATTTCCTTTTTTTTCTTTCAGGAGCCTTTGTTTCATTCTTTTAGTGAATATTTATTTTCCATAATCTATTAAACAATTTAATATCCCCAAATTGCTATATTTTGTGTTGGTTGCTTTGTAATAAATATTGGCTTTTTATTATACAATTATTATTGTGGCTATATCTTTTTTAACTTTTTTGAAAGGGCTCCACTTCTTTGGCATTAGGGAAGACATCGGCCTTGCTGGGCAAAGACTTTTCTTTTTGTTTTTATTTGGTTTGGTTTGGTTTTTTGAGATGGGGCCCCACTGTGGCTCTGGGGGTAAAGACTTTCTCATGAGGTTGCTATAAGGGTCACCCATGCTCCTTTCAGTAACCAATAAACTCACTAATGGCTCTTCTGAAATATCCACCAGAGAAAATTACTCAGACATGGATTTAAGTCAACAGAAAGTTTTCCCAGTAGGTAGCCCTAAGCCTTTCTCAGGGTGAGCTTTCAAACACAAAAACCGCAGCCTGGGCTGACATACTTCAGCTAGCAAGACCGTTAGCTAGAACCAGAACTACAGAAGCCAAAAAGCAAGGTTAGTCCATTTACAGACTTTCCCAGAACTATAGACTTTGATGGATTTAGGAGGTGCTGTCTAAATTCTGAATTTTACAGCTGAATGGTACTTCCACCATGGATCAGTTGTGCTGAGGTCTCGGAGCCTGTTACAATTTGTCAGGGTGAACTTTGGAGGAATGGAACTTTAGTTTGTCATGGGAACCTTATAAAAAGGGAGTGGACATTGTTTACCCCATGCCACCCCTAGGGATGTCAGGTCTGATCTGATGGGTGAGTACAGGGAGCCCCACTTGGGTCTCCTTAACAGATCTGGCCTATTCCTTCAAGAGGGAGACTGAGAAAAATAGAGGCATATTGTGTGTCACAGCTCATAGCAGAATCCAGTGTTTCCTTCTTCCTTACTCTAGTATCAAACTGCCCATGCCAGTGTTGGAAATATTACAAGGCAAACATGGGTTCCCTGTTCACCCAATGTTGACAGAGGTTTCTATTCTGCCTGGTCCCGCAGCTGTTCAGTCTCAAAGAAACACACAGAGGTCTACATTAATCATAAACTGGTTGGCCTATTAGCTCAGGCTTATTAACTCTTATATCCTACATTAACCCATAATTCTTGTCTGTGTCAGCCACGTGGCTTGGTACCTTTTATCAGCAAAGCATTCTCACCTTGCTTCCTCTGCCTCTGGGTGACAACTGCATACTGAGTCTTTCCTCTTCCCAGAATTCTCCTGTTCTCATCGCCCTGCCTATACTTCCTGCCTGACCAATCAGCGTTTTATTAAAACAAGTGACCAATCTTTACAAAGTACAAGACCATTGTCCCACTTTCCCCCACAACTTCTCCCTCCTTCCTGCTGCCCAGTTTGTTTCTGGGAACCTGTGCCATGCTGGTGAAGGAGGCAGGCATGACCGTGTTTGGAGTATGCTTGGTTTAGGACCTCTTCTTCCCCTCCCACAAGCAGGACAAATTGAGCAACTGGGTGATCTGTCAGCACAGCCCACAGCAGCCAGCGAACACCCAGCCCTCCTCTCAGCACGCCCACCCCCACCGTGACAGCAGAAAGCAGCGCGTCCCACACAGATATCCTAGGGGAGGTTGCCATTCACCATTGCACCAGAACCCAAGAGCAGCGGGCTCCCTGTGTCTCCAGGAGCAGTGTGGTCCCTGATGAGGTGGCTGGCATCGTGGGCAGTGTTGATGTGTTAGCATGTCTGCTGTTCCTGCTGGCCTTTCTTTCCTACCATAGGAGTCTGGATCAGGGCTGTGCAGAGCAACCACCCAAGGCCAGTCCCTGTCATCAGAAAGATGAGGAATGGCCCCTAGGCAGGCTTACACCCAGGTGGCCTTTCTGTTCAAAAGGCACACCCAACAACAGCACCCCACAAGCTCCCCCTCCTTGGCCCCGGTCCAGATCCCCGTCAAGCCCACTCTTGGTGGGTGACTGCCAATTGCTGGACTACAGGTAGATGCCTCACCTTCCATAAGCCTATAAGGCACTGGTTCTCAACCTGTGGGTCACAATCCCTTTGAGGGATTGAACAACCTTTTCATAGGGTTCTCATATCAGATAACATGTATAATGATTTGCTGGAGTATCCTGCATTTTTAAAGATTTATTTATGTATCATTTATTTATTATTATTTATCATATATACAGTGTTCTGCCTGTATGTTTGCCTGCACACAAGAGGGCATCGGATCTCTTTGTAGATGGTTGTGAACCACCATGTGGTTGCTGGGAATTGAACCCATAACCTTCTCTTCTAGAGAAGAGCAGTCAGTGCTCTTAAACTCTGAGCCATCTCTCCAGCCCAGAGAGTATCCTGCATTTAAGGTTGCAGTTCACCATGTCTCTGAGCTCGGTGTTATATGGAGAACTCCCTTTCTTGGCAGGAATCCCTCTCTACCTTATTTGGATAGTGTCTCTAGGCCCCATGCCTGATGCCTGACCTTATTCGGAAGCTGTCCCTGAGCGTGGACGCCTGACCCAAGTGTAACCTTTGACACAGTTCCCCGCAAATGCTCTCCGCATGCCACCCATATGCTAACTAGGTGTTGTGTTCCACCTGTATGCTAGGATCATACAGATTAGGTGATGCCCCAGCTGCTGTCCCCGTCCTACATATTCCCCACTCCCTGAAATAAAGCTGAGCTGTCTCACTGAGGCTAACTCCCAGAAGGCTATTTCCACCATTCTCACAGGCCGTACAAAACCCTGCACGCTGCCTCTGCTCCCTTGGTCCTCTCTAACTGGTGACTAACGGACCTCGAGGAAAAGGGAGGCCCCACAATGATTCACAACAGTAGTAAAACTAGAGTTATGAAATGGCAGTGAAAATAATATTATGGTTGGGGACACCTCAATATGAGGAATTGTATTAAAGGATTGAAGCATTAGGAAGGTTGAGAACCACTGCTTTGTCTATGTTTTTTTAAAAGTTTCTCTGTATAGCCCTGGCTATCCTAGAACTTGCTCTATAGCCCAGGCTGGCCTCAAACTCAGATATTGCCTGCCTCTGCCTCACAAGTGCTGGGATTAAAAGTTCTCATCTTTCCCACCTAAAAATAATATATATATATATATGTGTGTGTGTGTGTGTGTATGCATATATGTATATATGTGTATATATATCATATATATGATATATATATATATCACTCATTCTCTAAATTCTGTTCTTCCAGAGAACCCTAATACAGTGATCCTACTCAGCATCTTTCACATTGGGATTACAGACATGAGCCACAACACCAAACCTTTATCTATTTATCTGTCTGTCTGTCTGTCTATTTATTTATTTGAGAGAGGATATCACTATGACCTAGAACTTGAACCTCCTGCTTCACTCTCCTTGGCACTGGATTAAACACCAGCTACAGTACCTCCTCTACATGGGTTTGTGCTAGTCTACATACATGTTAAGGTTGTTAGCTTGGTGTCTTATGGGACTGCTAACAGTGGGAGTGGGGTGTCTGACTCTTTCACCTGCCTTTGGGACCTTCTTCTTCCTACTGGGCTGCCTCATTCAGCCTTGATATGAGGGTTTGTGCCTCATCTTATTGTAACTTGTTAGGCCACGTTCAGTTGCTGTTCCTGGGAGGCCCTGCTCTTTTCTGAAGGAAAATGGAGGAGGAGTGGATTTGGGGGAGAAGGGTTGGAGATGAGGGTAATAACAGGGAGTGGAGGGAGGGGAAACTGTGGTTGGGATATATTGGGGGGGAACGCTTTTTAATTAAAATAAAGATGACTTTTTAAAAAGACTTTTTATTTTTCATTTTGTGTGGGTGTGTGCACATGAGTGCAGGTAACCATGACCAGCAAAGGCCAGAGGCACTGCATCCCTCTAGGGCTGGTGTTACAGCTGCTGAGCTGCTTGATGTGGGTGCTGGAAGCTGACCTCGAATCCTCTGGAAGAACAGTTTGTGCTTCTAATCAGAACCATCTCTCCAGCACCAACATCTAGTTAACAAGACACCAGAACACACTAAAATCCCAGGGAGCATTAAGACTCCACAAGTTGAGAAGAGGAAGAATCTCATGCGGGAGGGGTGATGGCCTCCACCAGTGAGGAGCCTATGGCTGGAAGCTGCTTCTGTCCCAGCATCTCCTCCAGAACCTCCCAGATTCCTTGCCTACATTTGACCCAAAGGCCGGGTTAGAAAGACCCAGGGTGCAGCTGGTTCTGGTGCTGTGTCCGGCACAGGCCTATCCTCAGTGCTTGTTGACATGGCTGGGTGAGGGCCTGTGTGGACACAGGATCGGAGAGGGAGGAAGCCATGAGTGGGAGGAAGGTAGAACATGCTGAGTGGCAAGTCCAGTGGGGAGGTAACCTTCAGAGAGGACCTGGGGTCTGGACTGAGCTGGGGCCGCTAACCTCCCTGGATCTCACACTCATGTCCCCGCCTCAAAAATAACGCAGTCACTGGGTAACCTGCGTCTTAGTAGCCTTTTAATGATTTTTGTGGTTACAGCAAAAGAAGGAGAGAGAGGTCTGTGCCTCCTCCCAGCAGGTCTAGCTGACTTCTTGTCATTGAACGCTGGCCACGAAGGTTCGTATTTCCATAGGCTGCAGTGTGACTGAGGTAGGGTCCAACTTGGAGGGAGGAGGATAGGAGACGGGACCTATTGATCGGCAGAAGAGAACTGAGGTCTGGACACAGCCACACACACCCACCTCTCAACTCTGTCCCGGGGCCTCATATCCAGACCTTTAAACCACTTCCCTACGCCTGAACACACCTCGAGATTCCCCAAACCCCCTCTCTAACTCCTAGACATTGTACTCATATCCCATAGGTGACAGACACCGTCCCAGAACTCGACACTGATGGACAACAATCCAGCCTCGGGTCAAAATTTCATGGTCCCAAACGCCAGTGCATTGCTGGTTGGCTGGACCCACCGCTCACGCTTAAGCTCCTGTCCGCAGGGTCTACATTGGCTCCTAGCCAACAATCCTCATACTCCACCCTTAACTGCCAGTAACAGGCAGGATTCCTGCCAGGTCTTCACCAGTATTTGTTAGCCACTTCAGCCTGGAAGCCGTGGACAGGGGCTGATTGGCTGCCAGGGTGGTCTCCTGCAGGTGTGTGATAGTGAAGGTCTGGAACAGGTTCTGCAGGGAATGGATGGATCCAGCTGAGATGCAAAGCCCAGCTTTGGCCCGTCTCTCTCCTCCGTCTCTTTCTCAGCTTAACCCTCCTCACCTGCAAGTTCAAGGTTACAGGGGAGCTCAGGTTGCGGCCTGAATCTTCTGTCACAGCGAACTGATGCTCCAAACGCAGCAGCATCGTCTTTGGTCCCCAGCGGGCCAGGGTAAGCAGATGCACCTGGGGAGGTAGCTCCCTGCGAAGTCCGGAGAACTGTGGAAAGAAAAACTAAGTAGCCGGAGCCTGGCTGGCAATCAGCACTGACTTGCGGGAAATGAAGTTGAAAGGAAAGGAGCATTGATGAGGATGGACTCGATATGGAAGCATGTAGCTTACAACAGGGTGGAACTCATTCCTCAGTGGAAAGACTTAAACTGAGGATAAACTCAGCCCTGAAAAGAGGGACTCGGGAGGTGTCCTTTCTGCCCGACTCGCCGTCCCTCACCTGCGTCCTTGGTTCTGCCTTTCTGTCCAATTCGCCGTCCCTCACCTGCATCCTTGGTGCCGCCCAGGAGTAATACAGACTGCTACCAGCCTGAGCCAGCACCACCTGAGGGGCCAGGACCACCTCCTCCGCCAGCAGTCGGTGCCTTGCAGCTGCATCACTAACAGAACTCAAAAGCACAAGGTGGCGCCCTCGCACCGTACTCCCGGCCTCTGATTCCATCAGGGGCTCCGCCACTCCGCGCTCATCATCTACCATCAGCCGTCGGTGCACCTGGGAGGAGCGGCCAGGAAAGAGTGAGGAACTAGCGTTCAAGAATCGGGTACAGGCTTTCAGGAATTCCAAAAGAAACTAAAGCCAGAGTAAACAATGAAGACTAAGGTCAGGGGCTGGTAGAGGACCTCAGCAGAAGTGAGGCCCAACTAATAGGAGCCCAGGACAAAGAAAGGCAAGAGGATCGTCACAGGACAAGTCAAGGCCTCAAGAGGGACTGGATACGAGAAAGGAAAGGGAATATAGAAATATAATTCCAAAGCCAGGCATGGTGACGCAGACCTGGAATCCCAGCACAAGAAAGGGAAGAAAGGGAAGAGGATGGAACCAAGGCCACAGGTAGGACGTGGGTATCAACAACAGCCTTCAAGTTTGGCTGGGTCTGGGTGGGCCTTCCGGAGAAACCCCGCGTGGGTAGGGCTCCCCTCTCACCATGAGCTCTAGTGAGCCATCCTTCAGACTGCTGCCCCCCTGGGAGCGGTCGGTCACCACAGTCAGCTGCATGTGCCCGTCCTAGGTAGAAGGGTGACTGAGAATGCGGGTCCCAGGTAACTGGGAGGCGCTTCCAGTCTGAGGCAGTGGCAGGGCAGGTACCGTGATGTAGATTCGCGTGCTGACAGGATAGTAATTCCCAGCCACGGGTTCAGTCTGACTTAATTTCCAAGTGGGTCGATGATCACGCCTGGGAAGAGGTGTGATGTGGTCAGATTTGGGGTCCTGCTTCCTCTTTGTCCCTCCACACTCATATCATCACCAAATCCCCGTGGCCCTAAAATTCAACACACCACAGACTCCCCACGGTACCCTTGTCCCACCTCCTCTTCAGGATTTCCCTGCCGTTGCTGTCGGTGTAGAATTCTCCATTCGTTTTCATTGGAGTGTCAAAGCGGCTGATCACCTCTTTTCCCCAGTATTCTCTGTGCTCAGTGGAAAAGCACCCGTGTGAATCTCCTAAACACCACTGTGCCTGCTCCCCACTCCAGAAAGTGTGCCACTTACTCCACTGGGATTGGTCCCACCGTCCACTCCAGCTCCAAGTGACGCTGTCCTGGGTACAGACGAATTACTTGAGAACACCAGGCTGAAAAATTCTGGTATACCTCCTGCACCAAGTCTGTCTACAGACACACAGGAAGGCTGGAGTCAGCCACGTTGAAAATGCTAAGAATCCCGAAAAGGATCCCACTGACACTCACTTCACAGACCAAGAACAGTGTTCTCACTGCTTCTTCAAGAAAAATTAAGAGTGAATTATCAAATATATACCCACATTTTTGTTGCTGTTTCTGTGCCTGTGTGCGCGCATGGGGAGTGCGTGTGAGAGAGAGAGAGAGAGAGAGAGAGAGAGACCCACTACATAGCCCAGGCTGGCCTTGAACCTGAGATACTCCTGCCTCAGTCACCCAGTGCTGCTATTATGCACACACACACACACACACACACACACACACCCCTGTGGTGGTGTAAAGCTAGAACTCAGGCCTTTTCTCATATGCAAGTCATCTGAATTACACTCCAAGACATAAGCTCATTTCTTAGACCTTGGTGGACTCTAAGCAATTATACTTTAACAACACCTTCGCCTCTAATTTCCAAAGTGAGGAATGGATGTGAGCATGTTGACAGAGATGGTTATACCAGCAGGTTTTCTCTGTCAGCAGAGGGAGCCTGGGTCTTACTCCACACACACAGGAGGAGAAAAGGCAGACTTGCTGCTGCACTCCCGCAGTCTCAGCACCCCAGAGGCTGAGGCAGTGTCGAGAGCTCTGAGGCCAGGCTGGGCTACACAGTAAAACCTTCCTTGGGGAGCAGAGCAATGGTTCGGTGGGTAAAGGTGCTTGCTGCCAAGTCTGATGACCTGTATTCTCCCTAGGGACCCATGTGGGAGACTCCCACAAACTGTCCTCTAACCTCCACACATATGCACACCGAAACACACGCGTGCGCGCATACACATACAAATAATATTTAAAATAATAAAATAAAGATAAACTAGTTCCTACCCCACCCCACATGTAGCACATCCTGTTCCCAGATTCCACATTCCCACCCCTCCCCCTACCCCAAACCCACTCCTGATTTCGGGCTACAGACCTTCACCAGGTGGATCTTAGCCCAACGGCTCACAGGCAGTGGCTTGAGACGGCTGGGTCTGAAGATGTAGGCGCCGGAGGCCTGAGGACTCTTCTTATCCCCGGTGCTGGCATTGTACCTGGGCCCAGAGCAAACGAGCATCAGGGAGGGGCCTCAGCTCAGCAGCCACCCTGACAGAGCAGCCCTTCCTCACCAAAAGAAGCCTTGGCTCACAGGGAGTGAGAGCTTCTGCTCCATGTTTTCAATCTTCATCAATAACCCTGTGCTGGAGTCAAATGTAGCCCGGATGTACTGGGTGGGAAAATGGAGAACACGTCTAAGCAAGCGTCTCCGCAAGCGTCTCCTCAGCAGTGAACCGCTTTCCGCATCTCACGCATTGCTGCGCCTGATCCGGCAAGCAAACACTTCTGCAAACCCTGCTCTGTCAGCAACGGCCTCTGGCCACCTCTCTACGCATGGCCCTCGAGGGCTAACTCGGTTCTTTGCAGAAACTCACTTCTATACTTATCCACAGCAGCAGAGCCAACTACGATACCCTAAATTGATCCCAGTCCTCATCTGCTTCAGAGCTAGATCAATATATCATCTGACCTGGGAGCTGAATGCCAAAACCCATATGGCTTCCAGGGCCCCACAGAGAGAGGTATTTTCATGCGTAATAGTGATCATATCTCGGTTAGCAGAGTGCTTGCTTAGTATGTATAAAGCCCTCAGTACCACATGCCTATAATCCAGCCCTCAGGAGGTGGAGGCAGGAAGATTAGGAGTTCAATGTCATTTTGAGCTACATATCAAGTTCAAGGTCACTCTGGGCTCTATGAAAACCAGTCTCAAAAAAATTGAAGAATATTTCATTTCCTTTAAAAATCTAAAGAAAAGTTGAACAGTAGCAATGAACATGTCATAATGAGACTTGCATGGATATTGCTAATCTTTACAGAAATATCATAAAATGTTTTGTGTGTTATATCTACATGTGTACATGTTTCTGTGTACATTCATGTGATGTATGTGGTATGTCTGCATGTAAACATGTTTGTATATTTACATTCATGTAATGCATATGGAAGCCAGGGGCTGAAGCTGGCTGGGTGTCAATGCTTCTACCATAATTTTTTATTTTTTTAATCTTTTTTTAATAATTTATTTTTACTTTATGTGCACTGGTGTTTTGTCTACACGTATGTCTAAGGGTGTCAGATCTCCTGGAACAGGAGTCACAGGCAATTGTGAGCTGCCATGTGGGTGCTGGGAAATGAACCTGGGTCCTCTGGAAGAGCAGCCAGAGCACTCTACCACTGAGCCATCTCTCCAGCCCCTCTTATTTTTATTTTTTGAGCCGGGTTTGCACTACGTACCTCTGGCGAGACCGGGATGTGTACCGTGTTTTTTGAGAGAGAGTTTCTCACTGAACCTGGAGTTCACCAACTCAACAACACTGTCTGACCAAGAAGCCCCACCAATCCTAACTGTGCCCACAAAGTATCAGGGCTATAAACAAACGCACCACACTGAAGTCCACATCATCCTGATACAGTTTTAATATATTTATAAAAGAAGGAGCCCACAAAGCAAATATGCCAGGTCTCAGGACAGACTGGTATTCTTTCTTTCACTTACCTGGGTTTTGGGGTTTTTGTTGATGGTGGTAGTTTTTTGTTTTGGGTTATTTTGGTTTTGGTTCTTTTGTTTATGGCTTTTGGTTTTGAGACACTATGTAGCTCTGTCTGTCCTAGAACTCACTCTGACGACCAGGCTGACTTTGAACTCACAGAGATCCACCTGCCTCTGCCTCTCAAGTGCTGGGATTAAAGGCACACAACACTATACCTGGTCAGGATTTCTTTTAAGATGAATTTTTATTATTTTTAATTATGTATAAGGGTGGGTAAGTATGTGTCTGCAAGGCCAGAGGCATTGTGTCCCCCTAGACCTGGAGTTACAGGCAGTTGATTATGAGCTGCCTGGGCACTGGGAACCAAACTTGGTTTCTTTGCAAGAGCAGTGCAAGCTCTTTCCTTGCTGAGCCATTTCTCCAGCTGTGCTGGGTCATTTTATGTCACCTTGACAGAGTTAGAGTCATCAAGGAGAAGGGAGCCTCAACTGATAAAATGCCTCTATATGATATAAAGGCTATAGGCAACTTGTAGAACATTTTCTAAGTCAGTGATTGATGGGAGAAGACCCAGCCCATTGTAGGTGGAGACACCCCCTGAGCTGGTGGTCCTAGATGCTATAAGAAAGTAGACTGAGCAAACCATGAAGAGCAAGCCAGTAAGCAGCACTCTTCCACGGCCTCTGCATCAGCTCCTGCCTCCAGGTTCCTGCCACTCTTGGGTTCCTGCCCTGATTTCCTTCAGTGGTGGACTGTTTCCTGGAAGTGTAAGCAAAATGAACCCTAAACCCCTTCCTCCCAACTTGTTTTGGTCACATGTTTCATCACAACAGTGAAAACCCTAATGAAGACACTAACCCCTCCTCTATCTGTTTCTGAGGTACTGGGGGTGGAGCCCAGGGCTTCAAAGACACTAAGCAAGTATCTATCACTGAAGTCCAATTCGAGCCTTCAACTGTCTCCTTATCAAAGTCTTCTTGACCCCTCAACAGCTATTTGCCATGGGCCCTGACATAGCTCTATCAACCTCAAGGTCACACTAGATTTTTACAACGTTCCAGAAAAGAAACTGAGGCTCCAAGGTCACCCTCCTCACTGAAGAACACACAGTGAGATGAGTGAAAACCAAGAACCAGAACCCACTGATCCAGAATCCAAGCAGTTTATAACACCAAGGCAGGCCAGGTGGTGGTGGCACACGCCTTTAATCCCAGCACTCAGGAGGCAGAGGCAGGCGGTTCTCTGTGAGTTCAAGGCCAGCTGGGTCTACAGAGCAAGTTCCAGGACAGGCTCCAAAGCTAAACAGAAACCCTGTCTTGGGGAAAAAAAAAAAGTTACATAGGCAAGGAAGGGGATTCAAGGAGAGTCTCACCTCATTTTCAATGGTCAAGACACGGGACCTGGCATGGGACCTGTGTTTCCTGGAGATGGCCTGAAGGTTGTTTTGGACAGACACCTTGTCCACAGTGTAGATGCTGAAACCCAGGGCAGGCACCGAGGCTGAGAACAGCAATTCCCACTGGTCCTCCTTACCAGAGGAGCTGGGGAGCATCACCACCTGAGTGAAAGAGGGTGCTAGTCAAGAAGACAGGCCCGGGTGCAAGCATCAACCTCAGAGGGTAAGGAATGGGGAAGAAGACATTCACCTAGCACATCTCTACCTAGTTCAAGGAAGAAAAAAATAGGAAGGAGAAAAAGACAGAAGGGGAGGAAGGTGAAGGTATACAGAGAGAAACTAGGGGTCTCTGAGAAAATAGGAAACAGAGCAAGAGATGGGACAGGGGTTAAGAGGTTCAGGAAAGGAGCCTCCTGGGGTGAAGAGGTTGACATAAACAGAGAGTCTGCTGGGAAAACGGTGAGGCCACCCAGATCTGCAATCCTAACACTCGGGAGGTTAAGGCACGAAGACCACAAGTTGGAGGCTAGCCTGGGCTACACAGTGAAAGCCTGTCAGAAGAAAGAAAGAGGAGAGGGTTAGAACAAAGGAGGGAAGGAAGGAAGGAAGGGGAATTCCAGGTGGGACATTTAGAAGGGCTGTCACTTACAGAAGGGCGATGTTCTCCTTGTGGGAGACACAAGAAGAGAAAGAAGCTCATGGAGATATCCACAAGATCTGGGAGATGCACTGGGGAAGGGAAGAGACATTGGGCAGGCTCACATTATTGGGTACAGCCTTTCCATCAGGGTCCTTCACAAAGAAGATGCCTTCGCCGACCGGCAGCCGGACCATATGTTTCACCTTCCGGCCCAGGGGGTTGTAAATAGTTATCTGGAACTACAGCAGGAAGGGCAGAGTCACAGCAGGCCGCCAAACCCATCTTTTCACATAGTCCTGGCCTTCCAGGACAAGCCACGCCCCTTGTGATGAACTATCCTATCCCAGTGTCCCTGGACCCAAAATGGCCCTCCAAAAAGAAAGTAAGCAACCACTCCATCCCCGTTAGCGCAGGCTTCACCTTCTGGGGTTCTGTTTCGCCTGCCTCCTAGCCCCTACTCACGTGCTCTGACTCCTGGCTGACTGGGCAGATGCTGATATTGAGTTCTCGGCAGAATGAGAAGTTCTGTTTGTAGTAGCTGAGCTGCGACAGAGCATTGCTCACCAGAACCTGGTGAAGATCACCAAAAGACCTGCACCAAAGGTGTGCACCCCAGGAAGCCTGGCCGTACCCCTACCAAGGCCCAGTCTCTCCTACCTAGACCCTGCCCCATTTCCTGTAAGCTCCACCCCTTCTCTCCCAAGAATGGTCCTCTCATTCTCCCCCCCCAACCACGCCCCAAACAGTACTTTGCGGCCCCACCCACAACCATGGACCACGCCCCTTCCTAGTTACTTCATGGTTCTGCCCCTCACACCTCACAGGGTCCCCAGCCTGCTGCCAGCTGCCGTGCATAGTCATCTGCAACGTTCTGCCGTGCGGTACCAGTGACTGCATCGTGGTGCTGGAGGACCGCCATTGCCTCGTCTGCCAACAGAACACCAATCAGACACCATCTCCCACAGAACTCTGAACCCCATCACCAAGTAAGCACACACAAAGGGTCGGGTGCAGGATAACAGGGTTCTTAGGCGAATTAAAAATGGCTCTGGAAGGCTGGAGCCATTGATGGCCCACGGGCTAAGAGCACTGGCTGACCTTTCAAAGGACCGGTGTCTGACTCCCGATATCACATGCGTCTATAAGTCTATAGAAGCTGTCTAGAACTTTAACTCTAGGAATGTGACACTTCCTTTGGCTGCCAAAGTCACCAGATATGCTTGTGGTACACTAATATACATACAAAACACTCACACACATAAAAATAAATGAATTTAGAAGAAAGAATCTCAAAGTCTAGGGATGTAGCTCAGTGCCCAGTGGAACACTGAGTGGTACGTTTGAATGCTGTCTAGCATTCAAGATGTCTAGGGTTGGGTCCCCAGGACCACCGAAAGTAAAGTGTGCCCTAGGGATGGTTTTGGTTTCTGGCCTCAATCCTTCTCCCTCCCACCGCATTCAATCCCATGGTCGACAGACACTCACTCAGGGGTGCACTGTCTCCTGTACCATAGGGTCCTAAGTTGGCTGCCAGACCGGCTTGTGCCTCCAGCTGGTTGCACACCTGAGGAGAAAGAGGTATGTTAGGCCCCTGCTCCCCTGGGCCTCCCGGCTCCCCACATGCTCACTCACCTGCAGGAAGTTGTAGCTGAGGCGCTCATAGCGTTTGAGGGCTGGCCTGCTAGAAAAATAGCCCGTCCAGAACATGTGGGGGCCGTCGGCATAAGGAAAGAAGTCGTCCTCCTTCACAGACCTGCACAGGGGCATTTAGAGCTATCAACCCACAGAGCAGGCCAACCCCACCCCAAGCTCCCCAGTCCCCTGCCCCAAATACCAGGTTAGATTGGCCTTGTTCAGCTCCCAGAGGTAACACGTAGGAGTGGAGTAGAGAACGTGGACCCGGCTTCCGTTTGCCTGCTGCTGGGGGAAGGCATGTGTGAGCCTCGGGACCTGCACCTTCCTGGAGGCCCACAGGCATTCAATAGTCGTTCTCGACATTTTTTGTTGTTGTTTTTTTAAGGTTTATTTCTTTTAAATTTAATGTTTTGCATGCATGTGTGTCCATGCACCCCCTGTATTCCTGGTGCCCATGAAGGTCAGACAAGGGTGACAGAACCCCTGGAACTGGAATTACAGATGGCTGTGAGCCACCATGTGGGTCCTCTGGAAGGGCAGCCAATGCTCAGCCCCTGAGCCATCTCTCCAGCTCCTAGTCACCCTTTCTGAGTACACAGCAGTGGTCAAATATGAGAGTATGTCTTGGTCAAGACCAAACACTGTTACTCTTAAAAGGACTTCAGGGATAATTCTATAATTTTACACAACTTTTCCTTTTTTTTTTTTTGTTTTTGTTTTTTGTTTTTTGAGACAGGGTTTCTCTGCAGCTTTGGAGCCTGTCCTGGAACTAGCTCTTGTAGACCAGGCTGGCCTCAAACTCACAAAGATCCGCCTGCCTCTGCCTCCCTGGTAGCTGGGACACAAGCATGGACAGGGGCACCTACCTGGTTTACAAAACTTTCTAAATAATTCCAACTTTATTATTTAAAACAGGGAGAGATTGGGCACGTGTAGTTCAGTTGGTATGGGGTTGCGTAGCTTGCACAAAGCCGAGTTTAGCCCCCAGCACATCTCAAGAGGTACAAGCCTAGCAAAAGTTCAAGGTCATTCCAGCACTCAAGAGGTACAAACAGGCAGATCTCTGTGATCTCAAGACCAACCAAGGATATATAGCGATATCCTGTTTTTTAACAAACAGAGACAGAGAAATGGCTCAGTGGTTAAGACCACCAGTTGTTGTTTCAGAGAACCCAGATTCAACTCTCAACAGCACATGGCAGCTGACAGTTATCTGAAAGTCCAGTTCCAGGGAATCCAATGCCCTCTTCCGGCCTCTGTACCAAACATATGCATGGTGCACAGATACATATGCACATAAAATACCCATATACAAAAAATAAATAGCGTTTTTTAAAGGAGAAACAAGGGGAACAGGAAGAGGAGCATGTAGAAGAGAAGAGAAAGGGAACAAACTAGGAAGAGAGCAACAGAGTTCATGAGGCTGTTCACGGAGTCATGCACCTCTAATCCCAGCACTTGGGAAGTCGAGGCAGGAAGAGTAGGAATTCACAGTTATCCTCAACTGCACACTGAGTTTGAGGCCAACCTAATCTACTGGAAAGTTGGTCTCAAAAAACCTAAAGTGGCTGTGGAAATGACTCAGCAGGTAAGAATGCTTGCTATACAGGTGTAAGGGCCTGAGTTCAATCTGCAGAACACACATAAAATACTCGGACTAGCCACCTATGAGCCTGTATTCCAGTACTGCGGAGGGCCCAGACAAGAGGACAGTGCAGCTCTGTTGACTGCCAGCCTCGCTGGCTTCAGGTTCAGTTCTCAGAGGACTGAGACAGAGACCGATAAAGCAGGGCACCAAACATCCTGCCCTGGCCTCCAAGAACAAACGTGGTCATGTGCACCTACACACACGCACACATACATACACACAGGAACACACACACAATACACAATTTACTATTTTAGAAAACTGAAACTATGCTACATGTGGAAGCACATGCCTTCAGTCCCAACACCCAAGAGGCAGAGGCAGGGGGATCTCTGTGAGCTGAGGCCAGCCTGGTCTACAGAGTGAGTTCCAGGACAGCTGGGGCTACACCGGAAACCCTGTCTCAAAGAAAAATCAAAAGGAAACTAAAACTAAAAATAACTTTTCTGTATTTTGGTTTTGTGTATGATTTTGGTTTTGAGACAGGGTCTTGTGTGTGTGTGTGTATGCATGTGTGTCCCAGGCTGGCCTCCAACTCAAAGCAATCTTCAGCGTCCCCAGTACTGGGGTGCACCACTCTGCATGGCTCTCTTCCCTTTATCACTTATCTCAGGCATCTGACTGTGCTGATAGAAAGCTGACTGACACACACACAGAGGCACACTGACCTGTTCGTTGACCAGGCGGATAAGCTTGTCCATGTTTTTGAACCACATGTTGGCATTCTCATATTGGAAGTCTGAACCCATGGTCATCACGGTATGGTTGGTTCGGTAATACTGTTGCTATAGATGAGAAGGCAAACATCAGGCCAGGGTGTCCTGGACTATCCCTATACCTACTCCTAAGTACACGTGGGGGTCTTGGGATGTAGTTCCATGTGAGAGTACTAGCCTAGCATGTTTGAAACCCGATTGGATCCCCAGTACAAAAAAAATAATAATAATCCTGCACTTGAGAAAAAATGACTAGGGCACATAGAAACAGAGGTGAACACAAAAATAACAAGTGAGGGACTGGGGGTGTGACTCAGTCAGCAGAGTGTCTGACTAGCATGCGCCAAGTCTTGGGCTTGATCTCCAGCACTGCAGAAATCAGGCATGGGGGTGCACATCTATGTTCTCAGGACTCAGGAAATGGTGGCAGGAGGGTCAAAAGCTCAAAGCCAGCCTCTCCTACATAGCAAGTTCAAGGCCAGCATGGACTACATGAGACCTCACCTATAAAGAACAAAAACAACCAGTAGCTGCTGAAGTACTCTAGGGTTGACTACTCAGATGAGGCGACAAGGACTGGAGGAGGCCGCTTGCTGGTTCCTGGCTGCTTAGTCCCGAAATAACCACACAGATACTGTATTAATTAAACCACTGCTCGGTCCATTAGCTCTAGCTTCTTATTGGCTAACTCTTACATCTGAATTTAACCCATTTCTAGTAATCTGTGTACTGCCACATGGCTGTCTGGCTCCAGCGGGGCTACATGGCTTCTCTCTGACCCTGCCTCTTTTCTCCCAGCATTCACTTTAGTTTTCCCCACCTAGCTCTGTTCTTTTGCCCTCACAGGCCAAGACAGTTTCTTTATTCATTAACCAATAAAAGCAGCACATAAACAGCAGGACTTCCCACACCAAGGGACTGAACCATACTCTCATGCATTCTCCTCCTCCTTCCTGTTTATTTAGAGGGGGAGGGAACGCATGCTATGGTGTGCACTTACAGCACCAGCTTGGAGGCCGGAGGACAGTTTCCAGGAGCCACTGCTCTCCTTCCACCAAGTGGGTTCTGGAAACTGAACTCAAGTGTTTGGACAGCAAACACCTTTATCCACTGAGCCTTCTCACCGGTCTACTTCTTTTGTTTTGAGACAGAACTTCCAGAGATCTGATTGCCTCTGCCCACCCCCAGTGCTGGGATTAAGGTGTGCACCACCATAGCTGGCCCACATCTTTTTTTTTTTTTTTTAACTAAGGGGTATAAATAAGTGTGTGTGTGTGTTTTCTGTGTATTTACATGTGTTTGTGAGGCCTGCATTTGCCTCTACACACATGCACAAATCAGAAGAGTGTCAGGTGTCCCCTTGCCATTCTCTACCTATGCCTTTGAGGCGGAGTCTCTCCCTCAACATGGAACTTGCATTTTCTTCACTAGGCTGAAATTTAGAAGCTCCAGTGATCCTCCTATCTGTACACTCCTTGGAGCTAGGACTCCAGATAACTCTCATACAGGAGTTTGCAGTCAGGATGACTAGTTTATTATGTGGGTGCCGGGATCTGAACTCTGGTCCTCATAATTGAACAGCAAGTGATCTGAAGTGCTGAGCTATTTCTCCAGCTCCTTGTGTATCTGTCTAATGAAGAATCAATCCCAAAGGAAAATCCCCTGGTGGTACTGGACCTACATGGTATGGACCATGGTCCAGACATCCATGTTACCTGGGAAAAAGCCAGCTTCAGGAAGTAATTGACCAAAGTAACTGCATTGAACTCAGGGCTTTTGGGATCCTCCACCATGGGTTTGTCTGCACACAGCACATCCCAACATAGGTCCTTCGGAGGGTTGTAATTATTGGGGAGCACACCTGTAAACCAAATTGGACTCAGCACCCCAGACCTGCCCTGGGGTCAGAGTCTGCCATGGCCTACCCAGAATAGACTTCTGAATTAGAAAGGGCTGGTGGGACAAAAAGAACACACAGAGCCCAGCTCAAAAATCATTAAAAATTCTAAGATAATCACAGCATATCACAAAATCATACCCGGACCCTTCAGAGCTTGAGGTCTTGTGTGACTGCCCTACCCTTCTACCTCCTCACCTGTAAAGAGGTCAGCAGCTGGGGGCTTCAAGCTGGCACTGGCCCGCCACACTTCCTCCATCTTCCGTTTCTTCTGCCGAACAACTTTATCTTGATAGTCAATGCGCCCAAGGAAGAAGCCATCAAAACCCATCTGGAGTGCAGAAGGGGTGGAGTGAAGGGGTGCAGGTGCTTCTTGCCCAGTTGGGAAAGACAGCACAGGAAAAGTACGCACAACTAAAACTAGGTTTCCGTGGGGAGGGGTTGGAAAGATGGCTCGGTGACTAAGAGCCCTATGTGCTCTTCCAGAAGACCAGGATTCAATACCCAGCGTCTATATGGTGGCTCACAACCATCCATTGTTCCAGTTCCAGGAGATCCTACAACCCTCCTCTATAGGCTCTGCACACACCTGGTGCACAGACACTCATGCAGGCAAAACACTTATATATTAAACAATACATGGCATAACAAAACAAACATTCATATTAAATAATAAAACTAAAGAAAAATATAGCTAGATTTTTTTTTTGAGACAGGGTCTCCGTCCGAGGCCATGCTGACCTCAAGCTCACAGCCCTCCTGCACCAGCCTCCCAAGTACTGATATTACAGACATGGGCCACACAAAGCCTGTGTACTTCTAATTTTGAGAAGGGTCAGCAAAATAGAGGAAGCTCTAAAGACAAAACCCCTTCCACGTCGCTGGGTATGTCAAAGCCAAAAGGAGGCTTTTCCACGCTCTACGATCCAAAGTGGGGATACGTAAGCACAGACAAGAAGTTGGTTCTAAAGCAGGGTAGCGCCACTGCTCAGAGAGGAGCCTCAACCTTAGCAGGCTAGTGAAGTCCAAATTCTAGTACGGCCTGGTCAAGGGAAGAGACCAAACCAGCTGGAGAAAGACAAAGCAGTTTAGAACTGCAGAGCCCTAGGACATAGGCCAAGGCTTGAACTCAATTCCCTAGAGTTAAGTTCACCCAGGAGTTGGGGTCCCAGCAAACCAGGGTCCAGTCCCAGGAACTGCTAGAGAAGGGCAGTGTTTGAGCAGCTAAAGGAAGAGTCAAAGTTAAGGAGCAGGTCCAAAAAGAAAATAGGGAAGCTGGCACCTGGGCAAACAGAGAGGCCTGTTCTCGAGAGTGGCCAAAAGGGTCAATATGCCAGGCTACACGGGGACGCCCATTGTCACCGAATGTGTCTTGCAGGAAGCGTAGCCCAAGTGTCATCTGGTCCACAATAGCACCATAGTGGGTAGCTGCCTCGTCATTCATCACCCAGCCACCGTTGACAAACTCCAGGCGCCCTGTGCAAGGGGCGCAAGGGGAGAAGGGTGTGTGTTAGGAGCAGGGCTATCATGAACGACACTAGGAAAACTGACCGTTCTGTTACTGAAGCTGGAGAGGAGGGGAATTTCCAAGCAAATATGCTTAGATCTGCATGACAGGCTTCCCGGGAAGCCACTGGAGACAGGGCCTTGTGGGACACAAGTCTCCACATGAAGGGAGATTCTAAGCAGGTAGAACTATAGGTACAGTGTGTAGTGATATGATACAAATTCCACTAGGGAAGCAGGAGGGTTTCCACAAGTTCAAGGCCAGCCTACTGGAAGTATCAAGTTCCAGGTCAGGAAGGGCTATGTAATAAGATACTGACCCAATAGATAATAGTAATAAATAAATAAATAATCTCTGAAATCAAGCTGGGCTGGACTTCCTCCTTTCGCTCCTTTAGGCAGGCTCACCCTGGCGCACCAGTTCCCGTACGGTGTCCTTTGTTGCATTTGTCTGCTCCTTCCACCAACGTGAAAAGAAAGCCATCTCCACGTAGATGAAGCGACGGGTGGGATCCTCCAGGAGAGAGGAGATTACCGAGTCTAGGATGTACTGAACAGATGCATGCTGGATATCATTTAGGACTGCGGACATGAAGGTCAGGCAGTGAGAGACCACTAGGAGACATGCCTTGATACAAGGGTCCAGATGACTCATTGTTCTCACCCCAATGTCCACGTCCCTGAAAAAGTTAGCGGGCACCTCCCCCACACACACACTCTCTACTCACTGCCATAATAGTACTGGTCCACTGTCTTCAGCCAGCCGACGTCATCATGTGTATGAGGCAACAGGTGCACGTTGAGCATGCCTGGCTTCACTGTAGGACATGTCTGCACAGAGACGCCAAAACATACACATTCGCTGTCAGTAACCGAGAGTTGAGAGATCGACAGGTTGGGGGCTCTGAAGTAGAATCTTTGCCTAGCATGTCCAAGACCATAGGCTTGGCCTCAACCATCACAAAACAGGTAGGGAGGTGGTAAAACACAAGTCTTGACTCTGGAGTGACAGAGAGGTCAAACGCTATCATCAGTTGGGTGGTGGGGATGCACGCCTTTAATCCCAGCACTCGGAGGCCGGGCGGATCTCTGTGAGTTCAAGGCCAGCCTGGTCTACAAGTGCTACCAGGAAAGGCTCCAAAGCTACAGAGAAACCCTGTTTCGAAAAAAACAAACAAAAGCTATCATCATCTGTCCCAGGCTGTCTCAAGTAGGACACACCAAGTACTGTACTCATAGACACAAGTCCTAGTTTGCACGAACCCCACAGAGCAGATTTCATCCTCTAGAGTAACAACTTTAATAGTAGCTGGGGTTAGCTACGTATTCACAGACAGTAGGCAAGCGCCTGCGTTGTGGCGCAATCTAGCTCTAGTTGTACAGTGAGGCATGGTGTTGAGGTGACTTGCACAAGGAAGGAGTCAAGAAGCTGAGGAGTCAAACTGGGACTCCAGGCAACCTGAAGGGAGATGACTAGGGATGAGCAGCCCAGCTCACATACTCCTACTCTGGAAGTGAAAGTGGGGAGCCCTTCCACGTGATGTGGTCAGATCTGCAAGGCTGGCTTTTCAACAGAGCCGCGCCAAATGGGGATCTGGGAAATGCACTGTCACCAAACAGTGAATTCATGCAAGTGGAACCATAGAGAGAACAACCCGTTCAAGCTTAGAGTCCTGTTCTCAAGTAGCACTCATCCTTAGCCGCACCAATCACAGTTAAGTGCATGCAAAGTTCAAGAGGGGAGGTGGATACAATCATGACCAGCCCTGTTCTCAGGCGCACACCAGACCTTTTCAGAAACCCAATGCACGCATTTAGATCACACTGCCAGATCAGCAGCAGTTACCATAAAAATCAGTGTCACCCACACCTCTGGTTCAACTCCAGTCCAAATAGATTTCCTCCCTCGGACCCCAGCTCACCTCGTAGCCCGCGGCCCAAGCGCCAGGTGTGACCAGGAACAACCAAAAAAGAAAAGAAATAGGCAGGACAGGCGAACCTAGAGTGCAGGAGTTCATCCAGATCCAACCAACACTCCCGCCACCAGCACAGACACCAGAGGCCAGCGGTGGGGTGCCCATGGTTCCGGAGAGGCCGCTTCCGCGGGTTTCCCTAACCCAGCTAAGTTCCCGCGGACGCTCCGCCCCCAGAACCCGAACTAGCCAATCGGCGCGGAAGGGGGCAGGGCCTAGGCCGTCTACGAGCTGTGGCTGTGGACTTGGGTACTGAGGAATTTAGATGCTAGGGAAGTACTGAGTCTGTCCCCACCCCCATTACACCCGGGGCTCTTTTGACAACAGACCTTAGCTGTAAGGCTTTGTTTTGGTCTGAGTGTGTGTGAGCAAAGGGTTCAACGTTCCAGTGGACGTCAGTGTTTCCTAAGGAGTGGAAAGTGTAGAAGGGATTCTAGGGTACCACACTCTCTTTAGGGCTGAGGTCCTGGAGGGGCCTAGCGTAGCTAGAAGCTGGGAAAACAGTTCTAGTCTGCCTTGTGGGGCTTGGGACAAACGGCCACTGTCAGAGATAAGGCACTCAGCCGGGTCTGAACAGAGGCTGATCCTCCTGTGAGCTGGAAGTGCCTTGGAGGGGAGGGAGAACCCTGAGTCTTTCGTACCCTTTCCAACTCCTACAGTCTATTCATTATTCTGTTGCTCTAATAAGAAAACCCCAGGCCAGAGTTTGGTGTGTTGGTATATAGCTGTAATCTTAGCATGCTTGAAGGCTGGGACAGGAATATTGCCATCCCAGCTACATGATTACCAAATCTGCCAGGGCTATACCAAACACACAAATATAGCTCTGTAGTACTGCACCTGTGTAGAATGTATAACACCATGAAGTTCATGTCCGGCACCTCAAATAAACAAGTCGATAAATAAATAAATAATCAAACGAAAAAGAAAACCAAAGCCAAGATTAGTTAGCTTGGCAGAGCCAACAGTCACCCAAGTGTAGAAATAACTGTCTTGCCCCCAGTGCCTAACCTAAGACATGAGACTTGTGAAATATGAACGTTAATTCATTTAAAAAAAAAATCTCGGCGGTGGGGGGCAGTGACACACAGGCCAGTCTTCACTGGGCAGAGCACCCCAGGAACAAAAGAGACGTAATACAAGTCAGCCAGAGTGGAAAATTTTATATCAACCGGTTTCAACAAGAAAACAAGTGAATACTTTTAGAAACATGAACAGGGTTTCCCATAACAGTGGTCAGGGAAGGGAAGGGAAAAGGGAAGTCTGTGGGTTTACCCCTTTGTCAAAGCAGAAGCAGGACCCAAAGAAAGGGCCAACTTCCCTTCATTAAGCTGGGAGTCCAGAGACAACACTCAGGCAAGTTGAAGGACAGTAGCTAAGGGTAGGTTGGAAGCAGCCAAAGGCTAGGCCAGAAGGTGGGCAGGACATCACCATGGGGGCGTCATGGGCTGAGGATTCTGCAGATAGGACATCACCACGGCAGAGATCGAGAGCCTGAGACAGAAAAGAGGTGTCAGCTCCAGAGCAGGCATGGGGCCCCATCCCCTCGCTCAGGGTCCTTACATGAAGCTACTCATCATCTGCTTGGTGTCCTCCGAGCTCCGGGAGTTGGCAAAGCTGATAAAGGAACAGTAGACGGCAACCCAAGCACACCATTTCAGCTGAAGAAAGGTGGGTGGGGACATTGGATCAGTGAGAAGTATGTCAAGAAGCCCCCACAACCCAGATTCTCAGAAAGTAGGAGCCACCTGCAGCTTGGACCTTGTCCCCAGGAAGTACCTCAATACCTACCCTTCAGAGCTGCTTGCTGACCCGTGTGTGTGTGTGTGTGTGTGTGTGTGTGTGTTGTATCTCTGACCCCAACACATTCCCACATGTTAAGGACCCTGCCCTTTTTCCATAGTCGTCTGCAAATTGCCTCAAAGTAAGGCCCACCCTCAAACCCGCTCAGTTACGGACTCAATCCCAACTTCCCCTTTGTTGGAGGCGTCACCATAGCTCCGCTCCCCGCAGACCACAACCCCCACCCCCACCTCCAGCACCCGCCAGAGGACTCGCCTCTTTCTGAACCCGCCCCCCCCCGGCCTCATTCTCTGGAGGAGCGACACCCAGGGAAATTCAACCCCGCCCACCTTAAGCATGAGGCCGCACATGCTAAAGATCATGCCGAGGAGATTCATGTAGTCCGGCGTCGGGTCGTCCAAAGCTGGGTTGCACTCGCTCGGCGGAGGCTTATACCTGCGACATGTTCAAGGGTCAGGAGCGATCAAGTCCCAACTGGGCTGACAACTTGGCCTGGACCCACGGCCACAACCAAAGATGCCTTGCCATGACTTGCTGAACTGCTCACCTCAGCACTTTGTTGGGTCTCCGTGGGTCGGACATATTGTTGGTGGACATAGCGAACTGAAGACCACGTCGTGCCTCTTTCACTGCTAGACCAGCAGCTTCCGGCGTGAGAATGAAGGGTGGCTTTTAGAGTAACACCAGTAGCCTAGCGCTTGTGCTCCCAGGACAGCTCTTAGCCCGAGAATGGAGAATAAAAAAAGGCCAGGATCGTTCCTGAAACGTAGGCAGTATGGAAAAAAACTGAAAGGAAGCTTCAGTATTCCCAACACTATCATTAACGCGATGAAAATCTGAACACGGAAGTGCCAGGCAGGAAATAGATCCTGGGGGACAATAATAAGGTTACACCCAATCAAGGGCTTTTGAAAGCCTGGAAGCAAGGCAGTCTCAATACAGACAGCAGCAATGCGGGTAACAGTCTAATGTGCTTGAAATATGGCTTTTCCTGAACCAAAGCCACGGGCCCCGGAGCTGCCGCAGAAACGGTTGAAGACCCTGGACTGTGGCCAGGGCGCGGTGCGAGCCGTGCGATTTAATGGTAAGCGTCCTCGCCTTCATCCTGGGCCTCCCGCCTCCTGAGGCCCGGAGGTCCCGTAACCCCCTCCTGCTGTTCTCCAGTGGATGGCAACTACTGCCTGACGTGTGGCAGCGATAAAACCCTAAAGCTGTGGAACCCGCTGCGTGGGACGCTGCTGCGGACGTACAGCGGCCACGGCTACGAAGTGCTGGATGCGGCCGGGTGAGTCCGGGGCCAGCCTGGGATAAGGAGTGCAGAGGCTAGGATCCTAAGTGGATATTGACCTTCCCTTTCCTGCCCACCAGTTCCTTTGACAACAGCCATCTCTGCTCTGGTGGCGGAGACAAGACGGTGGTGCTGTGGGATGTGGCAACTGGGCAGGTCGTGCGCAAATTTCGGGGCCACGCTGGAGTGAGTACAAGCCAGAAGACCCTCATTAACATGTGGAGATCCATATTAGCGCCTAGGTGGTACGAGGAAGATCCTTCCACGACAGTCTTCCCCACGTGCCCATCACCTACACCCATGCAGTTTCTCCAAGGTCTTTTCACCCTCCCTACCAATAGCGTGTGTCCTTGCTCTAACATGCACCTGGAGTCTCTCCTTTATCCCAATCTTCCAAACACCCCTCCTCTAAAGTAGTAATTCCTGTTTCCCAGAAGGTGAACACCGTTCAGTTTAACGAAGAGGCCACAGTCATCCTGTCTGGTGAGTCTAGGGCCTAGACAGCAAGAAACCAGTTGCTGCCCAGAGACTCAAACCTGACCTCACTTTCATGTTGGCCTTATAGGTTCTATCGATTCCAGTATCCGATGCTGGGACTGCCGTTCTCGGAAGCCTGAGCCAGTGCAGACGCTAGATGAAGCCAGAGATGGCATATCCAGTGTAAAGGTGTCAGACCATGAAATCCTGGCAGGGTGAGTCGGTCCAGGAGCTTACTCCTGCCCTGGTGCCACTGGAGATCATAGTGGACACTGTGTTTTTGAGACAGGATCTTATGTAACCCAGGGTGGCCTTCAGTTCCTAACCCTCTTGCCTTCACCTCCCAAGTGTTGAACTGATGAGAGTGAGCCATGACACATGGTGGCAAAGCCCTTTAATCCCAGCACTCAGGACGCAGAGGCATTTGGATCTCTGAGTTTGAGGCCAGCTTAGTTCACATAGTTGAGTTCCAGGATGGCCAAGGCTATGTGGAAAAAAAATCCTTTAAAAAAAAAAAAAACACCATGCTGAACCCCAGCCTAGATCTGTTTTGTTTTTGAGACAGGGTCATTCTGTCCTGGAACTCGCTATATAGACCAGGCTGGCCTTGTGGCAATGTTCCCAGCTATGCCTCCTGAGCGCTGCACCTCAAAGCCTGGTCCAGCTCTGATATTTCGTTCTGTAAGTCAAAATAAGTAGCCCAAAAACCATGGGGTATGGAAAGATGGATCCATAGTTAAAAGCACTGGCTGCTCTTCCAAAAAAAAACCTAGGTTCAGTTCCCAGCACCTATATGATGACTTAGGTTCCAAAGGATCTGCTACCCTTTTCTAGTCTGTATAGGCACCAGCATGCACATGACACACAAACATATATGCAGACAAAATACAAACACACACAAGAAACTTAAACAATAGTGTTTGCACATCTGTATGGGGTAGTAATACTGGGGGGTATCAGCAGGTCAGAGGCATTAAGGTCCTCTAGAGCTGGAGTTACAGGCATGTGCCACCATTGCCTTGGCTTTTTTAAAAAAAAAAAGTTGAGCCGGGTGGTGGTGACACACGCCTTTAATCCCAGCACTTGGGAGGCAGAGGCAGGCGGATCTCTGTGAGTTCGAGGTCAGCCTGGTCTACAAGAGCTAGCTCCAGGACAGGCTCCAAAGCTACAGAGAAACCGTCTCAAAAAAACAAAAGAAAAAAGTTGAGTGTGTGAGTGTGTTTGCACATGCGCGCAGCCATGTGTGGAGGTCAGAGGACAAGGAGTCAGTTCTCTCCTTCAGTGTGTTGAGACAGGGATCTTTCTTGCTGTTTCTGCCATACTGTGTACTCCAAGCTAGCTGGCCCTTGACTTTACAAGAAGATTCTTCTGTCTCACCTCCCATTTCCCCAATAAGAGTGCTAGAATTTTAGATGCCCGCTACCTTGTCCAGCTATTATGTGGGTTCCAGAGATCAAACTTAGATCATCAGTCTTGCTTTTTCCCGGGTGGGCCCTCTCCCCAGCTTAAAGAGATCATTTAGCTTCAGTTTGGCGATATAGAACTTTGTTGTGGTTGGCTCCACGTTGTTCCAGTGCACACTTTGTATCTCCGCTGGGCTACGCCTGGTTGGCTACTTTCATCTTCCTGTTCCGCTGCTGCTGTTACCTACTTTCTTACCTCCCTTGTTCGGCACAGGCTGCTTACTGGGAGAACTGTGCAGGCTCTTCCAGTGAAAGAGCTACAGCTCCCAGTACTGCTGCCTAGGACAGTCGATAAATGTAGCCGTGGGGGCTGGAAGGATTGTTCAGTGCTTTAGGGTACTTGTTGCTTTTGCAGAAAACCAGTTTGATTTCCCACATCTACATAGTGGCACACATCCAGCTGAAACTCCAGTTCTAAGGCAATCTGACAGCCTATTTTGCCCTCAACAGCAAACCAACACACATGATGTACATACATACATACATACATGCAGACAAAACATTCATACATATGAGATAAAAATAATTCAAAAAATTTCATAAAAATATATATAAATGCAACCATGAGCCAGGCATGGTGACACATGCCTTTAATCCCAGTACTTAGGAGGTAGAGACAGGTGGATTTCTGAGTTCCAGCTCAATCTGTTCTATATAACAAGTTCTAGGCCAGCAAGGGCTTCACAAAGACCCTGTCTCAAAAAAACAAAAGTTACAAAGTGCCAGCTGTGGCAGGTGTGGGGACATCCATCTCCTCAGCAGTGAAAAGGTGAGGGCAGGGGACCAAGAGTTAAATGCCAGCCTTTTTAGAGCTGAGCAGTGGTGGCACACACCTTTGATCCCAGTACTAGGAGGAAGAGGCAGGTAGACCTGACACCAGCCTGGTCTACAGAACAAATTCCAGGACAGTCAGGCCTACACAGAGAAACCCTTCCTCAAAAACCAAATAACTGAATGAATGAATGAATGCATGAAAGCAGAAATGTGACTAATCTAATTGCAGCAAGGGCAAGAAGTTATGAGACAGCATCTTTAGATGGCAGAAGTGGTAAGATTGTTCATAGTAAAGGCCTGGAGTGAGCAACCATGGGTGGGTAAGAGCCACCTAGTGGCAAGCCAGTGGCAAGCACATGTCCCAAGATGATGAATCTGTGCAACAGGCCAGGCAGGAGAGGCTGAAGGAATGGAAAGAACTGGGTCCAAAGGGCTGCAGGAGGCATTTGAACATTTATTTTTCTGAGAGTAGTGAAAAGCCATGTTTCTTTGAGGGAAATACTGGTATGGAAGTGGCTGTGCTCTCAAAGTTTCCCAGTGAGCCAAGTGTGGTAGGACACCTGTAATCCTTTAGTTCAAGGACAGCCTTAGCACAGTGAAAGGAGACCATCCAGGACTGAGTTCCTGTCTCAAAAAAGGGATGAAAGCTGCTTGGTGGGTTTCAGCATTAAGAATGTAAGATTACCGGCAAAACCTTCATCCATGTAATAGGATGGCAGTGGAGCAGGAGGGGTAAGGAGTTACACCCCGAGAACACAGTTGCTTTGGTAACTGTAGTAGGCTGATTGCTGTTCCGGCCCTCTATAAAATAGCGTGCAGAGTCTGCACATTCTGATACAGGATTCTGGTTTGTTTGTTTGCTGTGCTAGGATGGAACTCAGGGTCTTGTGTGTGACACAAGGCCAGCCTGGCCTACAGAGCGAGTTCCAGGACATCCAGGGCTAGACAGAGAAACTCTGTCTTGAGAAAATGATAACCTTATAAAATACAGTTCTGCAGTTGGTCAAATGTGTAGATGTAGAACCCAGAGACAGGTATGGTTGACTGTTGTGCCAATCAGGATCTGGAGAGTTCTGGGGATTTGGAAAAGAGGGCTTGGTTTTTGAGTGGGACCAAGTTGTCCCCTGGACCTGAGTCACAAAGCAAAAGAGCATCTTTTCCTTACTCAAACTTTTCTAGATGCCCAGGAATGCATAGGGGCACGGGCTGCCCTGGAGTAGAAGACTGCAATGCTTCAGGCTGGATCTACCTTTTCTTGCAGCTCCGTGGATGGCCGAGTGAGGCGCTATGACCTAAGAATGGGGCAGCTCTTCTCAGACTACGTGGGCAGTGAGTGTGGCCCTGGGTCCCAGTGGGACAGTCAAGGCAGATGATGGGGCAGGCAAGAGTACCCGGATTCACCTGCCTGTCACGCTCTCTCCCAGGCCCCATCACCTGCACCTGCTTCAGCCGCGATGGGCAGTGCACTCTGATGTCCAGTCTGGACTCTACTTTGCGGCTTCTAGATAAAGACACAGGGGAGCTGCTGGGCGAGTGAGTCTCCACGGTTGGCCTCCCCTCCCCCTCCTTCTGAGGCTAAGAGGAACAAGCCTGATTCTACCCACCCTCACTGCTAGGTATGTTGGCCATAAGAACCAGCAGTACAAGCTGGACTGCTGCCTGAGTGAGCGTGACACACACGTGGTCAGCTGCTCTGAGGATGGGAAGGTGTTCTTCTGGGACCTGGTAGAGGTAAGCCTTCCCTTTCACTCCTTGCCAGGGTATCAGCTGTGTGTTTACCTCAACCACTTCCAGGCCTAAAAAGAGCAATAATGTTGGGTATTTGAGCTGGGACCTGTGGGAGGGGGGTAGACGTGGGAGTGTGACTGATTCTGATTCATCCTGCCTCAGCTTCCCAAGCTGGAACTGGAAGGAAGGAAAAGCAGGAAGCATATTTTAAGAAGGGAAACAGCATATGCTAAAGGACCTGGAGAAGGTGGTGGCAGTAGCTGGTTCCAGGTCAGACAGGGCTGTAAACGCCAGGCTGAGCTACTAAAGCAAACCCAAGTGCGAGGAGCCAGTGCCAGCCACCGAACCTGGGCTTACATCACCCAGAAACCCTTGTCTGCATGTGGGTTCCATAAGGCTTTAAACCCCAGATCCTGGCATGTCCCAGGTGGGAGATGGACCACTGGCTTAATGAGGTCAAGCTTCTAGGGCCTTCAGAAAGGAGGTGTCAGTGCTGGGGCCAGCCAACAGAATTAAGCTCGGTAAAAGGACTGGATAAACTAGGGAATCCTTGGGACCAGCTCTTGCTTTGGGAACTAAGGATGGTCTGTCAACTTCTCTTGATGAAAATTCACCTTGAAAGGCACACAAAAGAATATTGTTAAGGTACAAAGTACTAGGTTACAAGCTATAGTATCATAACTACGGGGTGGCAAGAGAAACGACAATCGCTGGGTCTGCCAAGTAGGCCTGTTAGTACCCAGAATGTCAGGGAACAGTGAAACTCAGAACAAGACGTGCCTGAAGCAAGTGGTGGCTATGAGAGTAGAACATGTGCCGAGCGTCCCCTGAAAGGAAAGTGAAGGTTGGGCATGTAGTACGTGTGTTATCCCAGTCAGTGGGGCAGCTATGGCAGGAAGACACTGAGTTCCAAGCCTATTATCTCAGCACTGTATTGCAAATAAAGAAGGAGTTTGCTGAGCCAGGCGGTGGTGGCACATGCCTTTAATTCCTGCACTCAGGAGCCAGAGGCAGAGGGATCTCTGAGTTCAAGGTCAGCCTGGTCTACAAAGTATAGCCAAAACTGTTATACAGAGAAACCCTGGGGGGGGGGGGGGGTTGCTGAAAGTTTGAGGTCAGCCTGGATTATAGAGCCTTTTGTAAAAATAATAACAATTTTGTCTTGGTTTTCAAGACAGGGTTTCTCAGGAGCTATAGAGCCAGTCCTGGAGCTCACTCTGTAGATCAGGCTGGCCTCGAACTCACAAAGATCTGCCTGCCTCTGCCTCCCAAGGGCTGGAATTAAAGGTGTGTGCCACCATTGCCCAGCAAAAAAAAAAAAAAGAAAAGAAAAAAAAAGAAAAAAATTTAAAGGAAGGTAAGTGAGCGTGGTAAAAGAGACTTCCAAGATACTTAGCACTTGGAGTGGAGCTCCAGAATGGTACACTTTGGCCCGACATCTGTACTGTTTTGTTTTTGTTTTTTGAGACAAGGTTTCTCTGTGTAACAGCCCTAGCTGTCCTGGAACTAGCTCTGTAGACCAGGCTGGCCTCAAACTCAGGAGATCCACCTGCCTATGCTTCCTGAGTGCTGGTATTAAAAGGCGTGCGCCACCACCGTCCAGCTGACATCTACAGTGTTTGAGAAGCCATTATAGGCCGGTGGTGGAACAATGTTAAGCACTTGCCTAGCATGTGCAAGCCTCAAATCTCTAGCACCCCCCAAGGTACCAGGAACACTCAGACTAGGAACAAACAGTAAAGTGGGGGTCACAAGGCCAGGGCCTTTCTATGTCCAAGGTTAGGAGCCTCCAGACTAAGAGTGTGGCTCAGTGGCAAGATTTGCCTAGCATTCTCAGCACCACCAAAAGAAGTCAGGGAAAAGGTGACTGAAGACTTCAGGCTAGATCTCAAGGAGACAGCCTGATCACTAGTAATTGCTCCCCAACATTCATTCCTTAGGGTGCCCTGGCACTGGCCCTGCCCGTGGGTTCTAGTGTGGTACAATCATTGGCTTACCATCCCACGGAACCCTGCCTGCTGACAGCCATGGGGGGCAGCATCCAATACTGGCGAGAAGAGACCTTTGAGGCAGAGGGTGGAGCAGGCTGAGGCTTGGGGATCTGACACCAAGCCAAAGGACCCAGACCAAGTCACAAGACCTAACAAAGACTGTTTATTCTGGAGATGCTGCTGATCAAGGAGTGGGTGGGCTCAGGGAGGGGCTGGTTTATAAAGTTAATAAATAAAGGAATAGCAAATACCCCCAATCTTCACCAATCTTCTTAGTCCTCATTCTTCTCAGTTATGAAGGCATCTGCCTTTTGGGCAAATGTCTTAGCGACCAGCAGGGGGAAGACCAGAGAAGCATCAGCATAGACCTGCAGAGAACCTGTGTGAGCCATCGGATCCATGGCCACAGCCCATGGACCCCCCCTAGGCAGCCAGCTTCTACCTTTACTGGCTGAGCATCCATCCGGATCTTGCCCCAAGAGACAGCCTCGTCTGGCCGGGCTCCTGAGTCTGAACCATCAAACTCCTGGGCTGTGTTGATATAGACAGCATAGTCAGCCCCATTCCGCTGTGGGCAGAGGAGAGCCTGGTCAGAAGGCAGAGCCAGGGAGAAGGCTGGGGTATGACACAGGAAGGCCTTGAGAGCTTCTAGGAAGGGCCATCATCAGTGCCTGAAGTGACTGTGCAGGTGAGATGGTCCATGTTCACAACACAACCACCTCTGCATGCATACAAGCTCTTCCCCCAAAGCCAAAATGTACCACTTCTGAGACCCATGTGTCAGTTAGCTACAGGCAAAGTAAGAATACTGTCTGTACAGGGCTGGAGAGATGGCTCAGCAAGTAGGGCATTTCATGCTCTGACAGGACCTGAATTCAATTCCCATATTCATGCCTGGTGGCTCACAACCATAAGTAACTCAGCTCCAGATGATCCAGTCCCTCCTGTGGACTCTCATGGGCACCTACACTTTACTCATAGGTGCACATAGGCACACATGTATACACATAATTAAAAATAACACCATTTTTAAAAATAGAGTATGAAATTACCTTCAAGTTATATTCATTCACATTTAAATTCTGGACATGATTTCTTTCTAGGTTTCTGCTCCACAATATGAATGTAAATATCTCAAATTTTAAATATAAAAAACAAAACACTAATCCAATACACTGGTGTTACCAAGCATTTTGGTTAAGGACATTCAAGCCAGCTGTACTGACATGGGCTTGTGGTTCCAGCTACTAGGCAGGGCAAGGCAAGAGGATCCTTGATCCAAGGGAGTCAAGACCGCCTAGGCAACAAGGAGGCCAGTCTCAAAGAAAAAACACAGAGGACCGCCAAGTTGTAGTCAACACACTACGCTCAGCAGTAGCTACTGCTGCAACCAACCATCTACAGAAAAGCAAACCTGTTCCCACAGCACTGCTCTGCCTCAGAACCACCAGAGGTCTCTGCACACTCCTGAGTCCTGGTGTCACCAGCCTCACATAACACGGTTCACAGGCCCTGCTAGTTCTGCGGTGTAACCTCCAGGTCTTTGCCGCTCCACTATCAGTTGTTACTTGGCTACTTCAGGTGCCTCAGGGCCTTTGCACTGGCTAGTCACCCAATGGGAATGTTCTTCCCATAGCATAACCATAAGGCCTGTGGGAAGCACCTCTAGAAAATATCTGCTCACGGTCACATTTCCCAGAAGCCTCTTCCAACCCTCCCTTTATTAAACAGCATTCCTTTCACATTATAGTATTCCAGGTTAGCCCTCAACTGTGTACAAGCCATCTCCCTGCCTCAGTCTACCAAGTAGCTGGGACTACAGTCACCTTGCCTGACTGACGTTACTTATTGCCACACATAAGATGCACGTCACTTCTTGCTGTCTGACTGTTTCACTCCAACCTAACTCCACAGAGGAAGGGATTCCAATCCATGCAGTCCACTGCTGTAGTCCACACCTGGCACATTTATGTCTACAACAGAGACACCTGTCAAGGGCCACCCCACTCACCATGAGGTTAGCATTGGCGATGTGGTGCTTGACCATACCTCCACCCAGGATGATCATTCCGGAGCGCTTGGCGAAAATGGCCTGCATGTTGATGAGTCGTAGGTCTGAGAGGGAGGGCTGAGGTCAGGCACTGGCCTCAGTGCGCCCTCCTCCCTCTTCTCCCAGGGCCTGTGCACCTCACCTTCAACGATGTCCAAAACTAAGCCTGGGTTTTTGTAGGAATGGAAGAAGATCATGTCACCCAATGAGCCATCTGTGAGCGCAGGGCTCAGCACAGGAATGTGGTTCTGGTGTGGAGACAGGTCCAGTTAGCAGCTACAGCTCAGAGCCCAGAAAAACTCTGGTCCCCAAGCCAGTGGCATCCTCCCTCCCTCCCTGAACAGGCTGCTTATTTCTCTGGCGAACATGAAGCAGATGAGAGGGAAACCATACACATCTCTAAGTAGGTGTCTGGCACACCGAGCAGTGGTTCATCATTTTCCGGACTCGTAAGTGCCACTGTCTCTAGGAGCATCATAGTACCCTGGGTCCGGCCCCACTGAGTTCTTAGGCACTACAGCTAAGTAGCCCCAATAGTGTAGGGCATGGCTAGGAACTAGAGCCCTTCATTCAACAGATTACCTAGCCTCTCGGGGTTTGACATGCCTCATCTAAGTCTGGGAAGACTAAGAATAATAATTATAGAGACTCCCAGGTAGCTGCAAAGACAAAACAAGTCAGCGCATGCCAAAGCCTAGGAAATTCGTCCCCAGCAACCCACCTTATAAGCCCAATAATACACAGACTCTGGGTTGTTGATCTCCTTTCCAAGTCGGGAGATCATCTTGGACGGTGTCCACTTCACACCCTAAAGGAAGAACATCAGTATTAGCCCCAGACGTCTTCTGACTCCACTAACCAGGTCCTCCTGAACCCTTCCAGCCCTACCTCTGTGTTCTGTTCCAGCACCATCTGGTCCAGAATGGGCATGAGCCAGTCCTCAAACTTGCAATAATTATCGTTGGGCACCAGCAGGTTCCCAATCCTGGGGATGGGAAGCACATGGGCATCAGTCACCAAGACCCTCGGCCCAGGTCCCCTGCCCCACGGCTACTCAGGGCCCCACCTGTTGATACCATTCTCCCGGAGCTCCTTCCCACTGAGGCTGAACTCGCCAAGGTAAGTGGGTGCCAGGCACTTGATGATATCTTCTTCCACGCCTCCAGCAGTCGTCACCAACACATCCACCTACAGGCACAGAAAACAAGGCTCACCTCCTTCTAAGCCGCACTCCTGACTTCAGCCTGTGCTCATTCAGACACAAGCATGCAACAAAACAAGTCTGTTCCTCTGCTTAAAGCAGACCTGTAGCCAGAAAATGTGGCACACTCCTGTGATCCCAGCACTCAAGAGGCTAAGGAATAAGAACTGCCAGCATGTTCAAAAACAAAATCCATCTCCTCGCATCCTTTTTTAAAATTATTATTTTTTATGTGTACCAGTGTTTTGCATGCATCCCTGGAAATGGAGTTACAGACATCTGTGAACCACCACATGGGTGCTGGGAACCAAACCCAGGTCTTCCACAAGAGCAGCAAATACTCTTAACTTCTGAGCCTCTTCAGAACCCTCTTCACGTCTCTTAAATGAACAGCAGTTTTATTATCCACTTGCCCAGGGAGGTTGAGGCCACAGACCTAACATCGACCCATACCATGTTGTGCTGCACGAGGTAGCGAATGGTCTCCCGGATGCCCGAACTGATGAGATTGGATGTGTAGCCTAAGAAAATGGTGCAGCCAGTGAGTGGGCGGCGGCTCTGCGTCAGATCTTCGTGATGGTCTTCATCTTCTGGTAGCGGCTCCAGCTTCTTCTCAATCTGCGCATGAGGGCACCGGAAAGTTGCACTGACTCCAACCCTCAGTCGAGGAAACCCAGGTTGACTGGACTCCGGAGTTTGATTGTACTCGGGGATACTGGACTATTTCGAAAACAAAACACAACCCCTGCGCAGACCCTACTCCCCGCTTTCCTGGTCCAGGTCTGTCACTTAGGGTTTGTCCCCTTTTAGGAATCATACAACATCTTCTTTTCAAGTCCCCTTCCACTGGGAGAAGAGACTCCAAGGCTCTCCCGACCTTAAGCTTCTCCTACAATGTCTTTCTTTTAACCCCAAATTCCCCCCATCCCAGAACGTCGAATTTACTAGGACTCCGCCCCGCCCAGCCACTCACAAGCGCATCCGCGTGGCGCGGTCCCGCCCTCCCGTCCCGCTTCGGGGCCGCCCCTGCACCTCACCATGGCGTTGACTTGCTGCACCGCGCGTCCAAAGTTGGTAGCCTGGAAGCCGGTGGTGCCGAAGGCCTCCAGAAGTGCCTGGTAATCTACGCCGCGGTTGAAGTCGTAACCTTGCACCTTGGCGCTCTCGGGAGGCAAGGCCGAGCTGTGCTTGAGCACGGCGGCCAGCGCCGCGGCGGGCGCCACCCCCTGCGAGGTCCCCTCCATGCGCCCGCGGCTGCCCTCAGATCACACAGCCTCTCTGAGTGCTAGGAAGCGCAGAAACTCTCCGCGTGGTCGGCCTGAGCCCAGGAAATGGGACTAGAGAGCCCGGGTGGGGGCGGGCGGGGTTGGAACCGGAAGCTATTTGGTCACATGACCCAGGATAGCGCCTGCAGTCCTGGTAGAGGCCATTTTACTCATGTGTTCCGTACACCGGCTCCGGGAGCAGTTTTTCCTGTCGTTGGACTCAGCTTCAAGCGGATGAAAGTGCCTAGTTTGAAAGTTGTCTGTCTAAATATTCCTGCCCTCTGTGAGCGAGATGATTGTTCCTAAGATGGATGGAGCCCTTGGACAGGATTTAGGGCATCAGGCAAAATGAGTTAGTTGCAGCCTCATGTCAAATAGAACAGTGATTCCTTTTGGTGCCTCCCACAGTCTCCACAAACTTCCTTGCCTCTTCTTCCCTCCCAGCACAGTTGTCACCCTCCACTCTATGGGAGGCAAGGATGACTGCCATCTTTTTACTCCAAGAAGCAACAGAAGCACCTATTATTAATTCTACAATTTGTGTAATCTACACTAAATAGTGCTCTCTGCTGGGCACTGAGATTCAGCACTGAACAAGACCTCTGCCCTCCTGATGTTCGTAGTCTGAACGAAGAAACAGAAAACTGTGATTAAGCCAGGCTCAGGGTACACACCAGCCTGCAGATAGGAGGTGGAAGCAGGAGAATCTCAAGTTTCAGGCCAGCCTGAACTGTAGAGACCCTGTCTCAACAAAAGGGATGGTGTGGCTAGGGAAATCACTGTCTTTGAAGCCCTTGCTTTGCAAGAGTATGGATTAGTATGTGTTCAATTCCTAGAATCCAAATTTAAAAAGACAGATAAAATGTCTGAGAGGTCAGTAGCAGTAATTCCAGCTCTGGAGAAGTAGACAGGCAGATCCCTGGGCTTGCAGGATGGTTCGGGCTCAGTGACCAAAGGCACAGGGTAAAAGGAATGAGCCTCAGACTCCAGTAAATTATCTTCTGACCTCCATCCACAAGCATGCCATGCATGCACACCTCATACATGCACATGCTCATATATGCACATGCTCATACATGCACAAAATAAAAGGTTAGGGGCCGGGTGGATGTGTCCTGAAGAATGATAGCTGAGGTTGTCCTCTAGCCGACAGCGCGCGCACACACACAACCTCAGATGTTAATGCTCAGATAAACAGAGGCCCCAGTGATTCGCATGCAGAGGAAAGAGCAGGTGAGGACGCAGCAAGAAGCTGACCCAGACAGGACCGACATGGTAGAAGAAAATGAACTCCAGAAAGCTGTCCTGTGAACTCCACATGCACCTCCCCTTCCCCCAACACACACAAAATAAATACTTCTGTGACAGTCTCACCATGTAACTCTGACGGGCCTGGAACTTACCATGTAGACCTCGCTGGCCTCAACTCAGACCAGCCTGCTTCTACCTCCTGAGGGCTGGGACAATGAATGCAATTTGAAAATAATTTTTAAAGAGATGTTGATGAAACAGTCTCTAGAGACACCAGAAGCAGCATCTGACCTCCAGCTACCCAGTTAGCAATTGCCGTTGTTTATCCAGTTCAGTCTATGACATTTGTTATAGCAGCTCAAGGCTAAGGCAACAAAGGAATCAACACAGCAATGTCAGGGTGATCCCTGAGGGATAAGGGGCAAGAATACGAGGCTGGGTGTGGTGGGAGTGTTTAGAGTCCCAGTTACTCAAGGGGATGAGGCAAAGGGAGCCTCAGCCTAGGAGAGAAAAATGATACATAGCCAGCCCCCGTCTGAATGACAATGATGGTGTCAGTCACATAAACAGCAAGAGAAGGCGGACAGCAGCACCCTGTGGACCGTGCGGAGGACGGTTACTGCAAGAGCTGCAAAGCAGGTGGAGAGCAGTTTCTTGATCTTCTTGGCAGGGTCCTTCAATGGCCCAGGCTGCTTTCTAGCTCCTGGCTCCGAGTAAGCAATCTTCCCACCTCAGCCCTAGAGTAGCTTGGAATATACGTGGTGCCAGCCACCCCGACCCTCACCCCCAATTGGTTTTGTTTGAGATGGGGTCTTACTATGTAGCCAAGCTCAGTGGCAGGATCACAGGTGTGCATCACCATGCCCAAAACAGCCCGGGCAGGGTAGAGAAGAACTGGCAAATGACATGGGAGACTATTTGGCTCAGGCAGTGGGTCAGGGGGAGGAAGACAGGTGGCGTGAACAATAAGAGCAGGAACCAGACAGAACTTCACTGTCCTAGCTGATATGGCTAGGAGGTGGTGGTGCACACCTTTTAAGCCCAGGGAGGTAGGGCAAGTGGATCTCTGAGTTCAAGGCCAGCCTGGGCTAGAGAGTGGGTTCCAGGGTGGCCAGGACTACACAGAGAAGTCCTGTCTCAAAAAACAAAAGAATGAAAATACAAACAAAAACAAAAGGCTTATCTGATAGTACCTGAGGCAGTTAGATATGGAGGCGCCTGAAGGAGAGGGATGAAAGCCTTGGAGATGTGTGCCTGAGCAGCTGGGATGCAGGTCTGGGGATGAACATGTTAAGAGGTATAACACAGAGTGATGTCATGCGTGAAGGCAAGGTCAGCCTGGGCTACCACAGTCAATTTGAAGTCAGCCTAGGCTCAAAATCCCATCAAAATAATAAAAAAAAAAAAATTAAAACGGGGTGGGGGAGTTATTAAAAAGACAATTTGGAGTTCAGGTACACAGAGCCTGCAGGAGGTGGCAGAAGCAGGGAGGGAGGTCTGCTGGGAACAGCACACAGATATTCAGCAAACCGGAGTCCCACATCCTTCGGGCCTGCAGCCAAGCTGCCTAGTCCCCCAGGGGATCCAAGAAACATATGACACCAAAGCAGCCACTGGGCCTCCTGGGGAAGGGACCCCTTCTGTCACAGCAGCAGCTGCTGCTGTTGCTGGTGACATTTCACTGGGTCCTGGCTTCAAAGTCTCTGCGGGGACTGGGAAGGTGGGGGGTTGAAGTATTGAGGCCAGTATTGAGAGAGCCAGAGTGGGGTAGCTGAGGCTGGAGCAGGCAGCCAAGCCTGTTCGGGAGTCTTCAGCTGAGGTAGCTGAACGTGGGAGACCCAGGAGGAGCTGCAGAAGCTTGGAAACTCAGGCTTGCAGAGCACTGCTCACCTTCTCCCAGATGTCCAGCAAGGTGGCCACTGGCAGTGACATCGGACAGGCCCGCCGGGCAGTGGAGCAGCTACGGATGGAGGCAGGCATCAACCGCATAAAGGTGAGGGTCGGGCAGGCATGCAGTGGGCACAGCTGGGCAAGGGAGCAAGAGGACACCCAGATGTGGCTGACGTGGTTGGTTTGCAGGTGTCTAAGGCAGCCACAGATCTGCTGCAGTTCTGCACGGAGCAGGCCAAGAGCGACCCCTTCCTTGTGGGCATCCCCGCTGCCACCAACCCCTTCAAGGAAAAGAAGCCTTGTGCTATCCTATGAACCCACAATAATGCTACCCCTATGAGCCTGGATACCACGGCAAGGCCTCAATAAACATGACTGCTCCTGTGTTACAACTTGTGTGCGCTGCTGTGGGAGGCTGAGGGGTGCCACAGCTTTTGGGGATCGGTGCACACCTCTCAGGCTTTCTTCTATGCCCATTTCCACAGTCACAGCCACACATACCTCACGCCTACAGCGCTGCATGAAGAGACCTGCACTGTGGCCCTGTACCACATACCTACAGGATGACTGCGGCAGGCGTCTGTGGCAGGCGTCTGTCTGCTTCCTCCACACAGACCTATACTGGGAATCTGAGTCAGAGTCTACATGCCACACAGCCCACAATCACCTCACTAAGCTATGTCAGACCAAGTGTCCGTGGTCCTCGAGTGCATACACAGAGCAGTAGGCGCCCCAGCCCTCGCATGCTACCCTTCCCCCTCAGTCACATGTACAACGCAAACAGTCACAGACATGTGGTCACAGAAAGCTCACACTCCAGTTCCCAACAATTGCACAGTAGGTCGTTTATTCCTTCTTCACTCTCCCGTGGGAAAGAGGCACCCAATCCTAGCAAAACAGGGATCACCCAGGGTAACGGTGCATCCATTGTCCCAACACTTAGAGACTGGAGCAGGAGGACCAGGCATTCAAAGCTTGCCTCAAATACATAGTAAATGTGAGGCCAGCCTGGATTCCATGGAGACCGCCTCAACAAACAAAACAATCAAGGGTGGAAGGTAGGGAATGGCTAAAATTAGAATGTCACTTCCACAGGCATAGGTGTGGGCCCAGCCCTAAGGCTTCCTGTGCCCAAGGCCTGTGGAGCAGGGCAGAAGCAGCACCAATTGCAGGAAGGTCCTCCAGAGCTGAGGCCTAGGGCAGCCTCAGCAGGCAGTGTATTCCAACATCCATCCACAGCCACGTCCAGCTGTTTAGGCCAGCAGCCTCCAGACCTCCAGTGACAGGCCACCAGAGGCAGCCACCACCACGTTGCCCTCAGCACAGATCTGGGGAGCAGTGATAGTGGAATTAGGGGATGGTGTGGGCTCTTGGCAGGCCAACAGGCTATATGGGGCAGGACCTTACCCCATTCAACACATTGTGGTGGCTTCTGGTACAGATGGTCCTAGGTGGGTCTGTGGGCACGTGAACCTGAGAAGGGTAAGGGGCAGAGGTCAGGATATGTGCCCTGGCGAGTACTGGGGTCTGCATGGGTCAGTGTCCTCACCCGAATGGTCTTGTCAGTAGATGTTGTATACAAAGTCCCCAGTGAGTGCTTGATCCCTGTGATCTGAGATTGGTGACCCACATCAAAGGACTAGGGAAGAAAGGATGGGTGACACTCAGGCAGAGTTTCCCCGTGATTAGCCCTCCACACCCAAGAAGTCACAGGGGAGGTACAGACAGGAGTCCTAGCAGACCCGGACAAGCTGGAAGCAACCATCTCGGTTGGCGAAGACGTGCAGCAGGCCCTGGTTGTCACCCGCCCAGAGCTGGGGCTCCTGGTAGGACATGCAGAGCAGATAGGAGTCCAGCTGTGGGAAGGACAAGGCATAGAGCAGCTCAGGAATGGTAAGCTGGGCTACCGCCCTCCTCAGAGTCACTGGGAAGGGCAACCCACCTGCAGCCGCTGCAGGACTCTATTGGCTCGGCGATCAAATACCACAAGACTATGGTCCTCACTGCCTGAGATGATATGCCTGTCATCTGCCAGCACCGCTAACACAGCACTCGAATGCAGCCTCCGGCTCTTCACCAGAGCCAAGCCAGCTGGAGTGGGATAACGGGCCAGGGAGGACGGAGGGTATCAGAGCCCTGCAGAGACCCAGGCCCACCTGAGGGTCGGGGCTACTGTCTCACCTAGGAAAACTTCCAACAGCTCAGCTTCTCACTTGACTACTCCCCTCCCCTCCTACCCCATCTGGATCCAGGACCCACAGGCTTTTGTCCTTTCCTGGTCCCTACCTCCACGCCACCTTCTCTTCCTACCCCACCAGTATCTCCCAACACATAGGCAAGCACTTCATTCCACCCAAACCTAAGTCCACCTCAGGATCCCTTCAGTTTAATGGAGTAAGATGACTCAGTCACGGCTGGGGTGGGGCTAGAGCTCAGCGGCTAAGCAATAGCCTAAGCACAAGGCAATGGCTTCCATTCCAGGATGGGGGAAGGGGCAGATTAATCATCAGCCAGGCCTCATGGTGCAATCCTGTAATTCCAACTACTCAGGAGCCCACAGGCTGAGGCAGGAAGCTGAATCTAGGTGGAGGCCAGCCTAAGATATAGAGTGAGTTTGAGAGTAGCCTGGGCAACATAGTGAGAGTCTATCTCAAAATGAGCAAAGTAAGAGGGAACACAGTTCAGGGACAAAGCATCTGTCCAGCGGGAGAGAGGCACTAGGTTCAGTCTCCACGACAACAGCGTAGACAGAAGCACAGGAAAGACTCGCAGTGAGACAGGCTTGTGTCATCCACCACTGTTCTCTGTTCACGTGATTCAATGTCTGTTTGTTTTAATTTTCGAGATTCCTTTTTTTATCTTACGTATATAGGTGTTTTGCATACATACATCTGTGCATGGCATGCACACATTGCCCATGGAGGCCAGAAGGCGGCAATGGATCCTCTTAAGTTGGAATTACAGGTGGTTGCTAGCTACCATGTGGGTGCCTCCCAACCCAATCCAAGTTCTCTGGAAGAGCAGCCCGTGCTCTTAATTGCTGAGTCATCTCTCCAGCCCCTGCCCCCCCTCAACCTCAGTGTTCTTTCCTGTTGTTTTGTGTTTCTTTTATTTGTTTCTGAGCCAGGGTCTCACTATGTAGCCCTAGTTGGCCTGGAATTTACTGTGTGGACCACAATGGTCTTGAACTCACAGAGATCTGCTTCCCTTTGCCTTCTAAGCATCAGAATTGGAATCTCACCTCTGGGATCATAGGTGGTCACCTTCTTGTCATAGGTACCAGTCACGAGGATGTCAGGTTGGTAGGAGAGGCACAGCACTGCCGCCTTGCCCCTGGGGACACACGGCACACAAGGCTGGGTGATGGCTTGGGCAGGGCCCTACCCACCCAGGCCCCCTGCCCAGGCCCCCTCACACTTGATCTCGCCAAACTGCTGCCCATCAGCCGCCATGTCCCACAGCTTCACAGTGCTGTCCCAAGAGCCGGAGCACACACGGTGGTCCTGTGCTGCTAGCGACCACACCCAGCCCTGTGGGAGCAGGCACAACAGTCACATAAGACAACTTACTTCAGGAGCTGTACAACAGCTCAGGTCTCTCCCCTCCCCAAAACCCAAGAAGAAGTCTGGACCTTCCTGCTTTTGCAGAGAAGGATCCAAGAGATGAACAGATCCACTCAAAGCCAAACAGCTTTTCCTCTCTCATGCCCACTTCCACAGACACTTCAGTAACACACATAACTCCCACTCTTCCCACAGACGACAAACGAGGGTCAGAAGGAGGAGGGACAACTGAAAAACACAGTAATCCCAACGTGTGGGAGTAGGGTCTGCTCTGCAGCCTGTCAGAGCCTGGGGGCAAGAACACAGCCCAGCGGTATCCAGGAGACCACTTCCTCTTTTTGTGCTAGACTAGAACCCAGAGCCTCAACACAATCTAAGCATGGTCTCTATCACTGAGCGACACTCACAGTTTCCAATAGCTCATTTTCGTTCTGCTCTTTGAAACAGTCTGACTCTATAGTTCAGGCTGGCCTGGAACTCATTATGTAGCTCAGGCTAGCTTCAAAATCAGAATCCTCTGCCTTTAGCTCCCTGAGAGTGTTGCTAATACAGGCCTGAGCCGTCAAGGTCTACATCAAGGCCTTCAGAAGCCTGCACTAATGGAGGTTTGAGGCCTCAAACCTTCATCTTACCGCCCACTGGACAGTGAAAACCGAACTCACCAGCAGCAGAGGTAGAGTCAAGTCTGTGCAGCCTGTTAACAAAGCCCAGGCCCTGAGTCGCAGCGCCCTCCCAGCTTCTTTCATGCCCCCCAAGACTGCTCACCTTGTGTGTGCTATTGCCCTGAGTGCCCAAGGCCTTCACCAGAACTCGGCTAGGCTCCTTCCCTAGATGTCGTAGGTCCCACAGGTTGACATTGCGATCTCGGGAGCCTGACAGACACAGTGCCCCACCCTGGAAGGAGAGCATGGAGCTGGTGTTGAGGTTCCCCAACCTTTCCCTTGCCTAGCCTCCCATCTAGCCCCCCTCACCTGGAGCAGCAACACTGCATCAATGGAAGCAAAGTGACCATCAGCTAGGCAGAAGTACTCAGCTCTCTGTCCATCCTCTGCCCAGCGGGACAGGTGCTGTTCCAGCTCGATGCAGGCAGCTGGCCAGTCAAAGTCCTCCTCTATGGGGTACCATGAGCGGGATAGTCAGTGGGCATCAGCTGAGAGAGTCCAGCCCTGGCTGCCAGGGAGCCCAACCTTCACCAGACAGACCTGGATAAAACGTCACCCCCCACCCTAAGCAGGCACAGACTCTGGCCTTGCTTCAGGATATCTGACCACCCATCTCCCATGCAGGACCAGGAATACTCCCAACTCTAAGAAACTGAAACTATACTTTCCACCCTTCATCTCACAACCCAGGTGACAATAGTCTCACCCTCAGTCCTCTCTAGGGCCTCACGACTAACCAAGCATTCTGGCCTTAGCCCCTAACCCAGACCTAAGGTCACAGTTCTTAAATTTCTAACTGTAAATCAGGAAGTCACATCAAGACACAGAAGCCAAGGAGTGGAAAGTGTGGCTTGGTAGTCAAGAACTTACCTAGAAAGCACGGGGCCTTGGCTTTATCCCTAGTCACTTCCCCTCCCTCCCAAGACAAAATCTAAACCCCAGGTCACCCATTCAATTGTTTGGATGAGGTTCAAGCACATGTTTTTATCAAAGCTGTCTGGAAATTTGACTGGAGGTTGGAGTTCAATTCCTGGGGGTAGGAGGTCAATTCCCTAACCCAGAATCAAACTCTTTCAGGTAAGGGGAATCAACTAGTCAGCTTTCCATGTCTTAACTCAAGAGCCTAAGGATCCAGGAACAGAAGGATTAACAGTCTCTCAAAGTCGTGCTGAGGATGTAACATGTGGTAAAAAGAAAGCATTTGCCTAGCACACCCAAAGTTCTTGGATCCATACGTACAACCTTAAAAAAACAAAACAACAAAAACTCAAAACCATCAATTTCAAGTTTTCTTTTCCTCCACAGACCAATGAACTCAAGGTCAGAATGAATAACACCTGCTCTGCAAAGGTGACAGGCTGGCTCGGCCCATCTAAGACCAAAGAAAGAAGGGAGGACGAGGCAACCCTGGGCTACTTAAAAGCCTGTCTCAAAATAAAAAAAAAATAAAACAGAAAAGATGACAGGCTAGACTCAGGTATCAACCATTGCTGGTATCAATGATCCCAGCTCCTAAGTCCCAAGGCCAGTTCAGGTTTAGGAGACTAGAGATTCAGAACCTCTGTTTCACCTATCCTGGATCAACACTCCAGGGGTCAGGAGCTTTGTTAAGGCAGTGCCGATTGCTTCTGACTGTATCCAGAGCCTGAGTTTTTTTTTGTTTTGTTTTTTGTTTGTTTGTTTGTTTGTTTGTTTGTTTGGGGGGGAACCTATTTTCACTCCAGGTACAATCTAAAAAGTCTTAGAGTTATCCACATCAGGGCTAGGGCCTTAAAAAAGCCCAAACCGGGAAATCTCTGAATTCTAAGTTTAGAGATCCCAGGTTCAGAGCTCTGCCTGAGGAAGTCAAGTATCTGCCTTGTGGTCGATTAAGGATTAGACAACACCTAGAAATTTCCTTTGCCTCCAGTCAGAGCCGGGACAACCTGGATGGCTGCCCCAGAAGCAGTATGCACCCGCAGACCAGGTACCACCCTCTTTCTTTCACTCAAGCCTGACCTGGGCAGAAGTTTCTGTTCCCCCGGGTGTGCGTACCTTCCACCACTGGGTAGGGTGCGCGTACGCGGCGCTGAGCGCGTAGCCTCCAGGTGACATGATCACGCACAAGGTCGTTGAGTGCTTGGCACACGCACGGCAGGACGTGGAGCACGACCCGTGCATCCAGGTAGGCACAGATCTCCAGTAGCAGCTCCGGGGGAAGGCTCAGTAGGCCCGGCAGGCGCACGGCCGGGACTCTGGGGGCAGCCTTTCGCTCCGGCGCTCCCAGGGACGCGGAGAGCGTGGACTTCAGCGACGAGCGCCGCGGGGTCAGGCCAGGTTTGGGTGGGGTGAGCACGCGGGCTACGTAGGCCTCAGCCTGAGCGTCAGGGTCCGGGTCTGGCTCGGGGTCCGACTCATCGTCACAGGAGCGAGGATCCCCACACTGCCCCGAGGGGAGCTCCATGGCGACCGGGTGGGTGCGGCTGCCCCAGGTTTAGCTACTACTGGGCCGCGTCCTGTTTCCTAGGCAGCGCGAGATCATTTCCGGCGTTTTTAGATGACGTCAAAACCACTGGAAGCGAGTTACTAGCGAATAAACCTGATGTCTAAACCGCAAGCTGGTCACTTCTTTTTTTAACCAATCGCGACTGTCATTTCATTTGTTGTTTTTAAGGATTTATTTTTACTTTTATGTTTTCGGGATCCCTTGAAGCTAGAGTTAAGGACAGCAATCGTGTGGTGCAGGTGCTGAAAACACCCACTTTGTTTTAGACATGGTCTCATGTAACCCAGGATGGCCTCGAATTCGGTGATCCGTCTGTCTCTGCTTCCCGAGTGCTGCGGTTAAAGGCGTACGCCACACCTAGCCTAAAGTGCTCTTAACCACTCCAGCCCAGCACAGGAGATGCTTTGTATCCATCTGAGGTCGAGATGGTGGGGGGGGGGGTGTCACTTCTTCGATGATCTACCTCTTAATTTTATTATCCTGAATTTTATTGTGGAAGGTGTGTGTTTCTATGTGCCACAGCATACATAAACTGGTCAGACAGCAACTCTGTGGAATCAGTTCCCCTTCACCTGTAGGTGGGTCTGGAGGGAATCAAACAGCCACCAGGCAGCAAATGCCTTTATGTGCTGAGTCGATTCTCTCAGCCCCATCATGTATCTTGAAACAGGTCTTTCACTGCTGATCATTTCAGCTAAGCTGCCTTGGCCAACCAATGAACTTTAGGAACCCATCAGTTTCTGCTCCTCCGTTCCTCCTGCCCCCAACATCTATGTGGGTGTTGGGAATCCTAGCTTAGGTTCCCAACCATGCACAGCAAGCACTTCATCAATTAAGCTACAAGAGATAGAGTTTATTTTGGGTTGAATGACCATGGCCCAGGAACTCAGGTTGCTCCAAATAGCATGAGGTCAGACACAGGTGGAGCAATAAATGGTTATTAAGGTCTAATGGTAGGCCAGAATAATTTTGCATCTACAGTATATAGTTCCCCACAAACACAATTCCTAATTGGCCACGTAGAACCTAACACATATGGGGTTTTTTTTTTTCTTTAAATTTTAAGGACCTCACTTATGGATCCCCATCTGGTCTCACATTATATAGACCAGGCTAGCCTCCAACTCAAGAGATCTGTCTGCTTCTGACTTCCAAACGCTGGCATTTAAGATGTGAGCCAACATATCTGCATAAAAGGTTTTTCTTCTGAGAACTTCACACTGGTCTCCATTTACAGTCCTGCTTCAGTCTTCCAAGTAGCTGATGACAAGTGTACACTGTCACATCAGCTCTTTGTTTGAGACAGGGTCTCTCTAAGCAGCTCTGGCTGTCCTGAAACTCACCCTATAGACCAGGTTGGCCTTGAACTCAGAGATCCTTCTGCCTCTGCATCCCAAGTGCTGGCATTAAAAGCATGCTCCACAACCACCCAGACAGCTATTTCTATTTAATACCTCCAAGAATTTCTAGCCTGCCCAGTGACTTAACGTTGTGTCTGTTATAAGGCATTACAATTATGTTCAACAAACCAATGAAAGGCTGCCATACATTAATCATGGAAAACAGCTTGCACGATTTCTGTGCACACCTCTTTCACACTCACCTTCCCACACAACAAAGATGAAAATAGGTTTCCTTGGACCGTCAATTTTACTTTTCAAGTCCTGAGAATTAAAGGTAAAACTTTATGTATCTATTTAAGCTAGCTACTAGCCCTCTCATTCATTGATTTCATGAATGGAATTCTAGCTCCCTTTTTTTGAAACAAGGTCTCAATCAACCCAGATTGATTTCAAATTTGCTATCCTCCTGCCTCAATCAGGCAGCCCATCAGGAGCAGCTGTGCATCTCAGCTCACCCTGCTGGAGAGAACACCAGATGTCCTGCTCCTGCTCTATTCTTCTCTGCCTCACTCCTCAGAGCTGGGGGATTCTGTCAGCACTCCCACAGCACTGGAGCCACAGAAAAGCCCACCTCCACACCACTCTACCACCAAAGTCAAGGACCAGGAAACCAGACACCAAGGCTTTCACAAGAAACTGACCTTTACTCAACAAAGTTCTACACAAGTGGAATCTCACGCCACCTAGGCGCCAGTCCCCAGCACAGCACAGTAACAGATGGCAGATGGATAGACCTGGGAGCCCACAGGGTAATGGTAATAATGAAAGACTCAGGAAAATGGGGGGTGGGGGAAGGAGCTGCAGATCAAGGTCAGTCTGTGTCTGCAGCCCTGGGCAAGGAAGGTTAAGAAACTGAAAATTCATTGTGCAAAAACCAACTAAAAAATAAATTAAAAAATTAAATAATTTTTTAAAAAAATAATAAAATTTAAAAAAATGAAAATACAAGAATTGGGCTCCCCTCTCCTGAAAATAGTTGGAACTCCCACCTTGGGCAGAGGGGTCACAACTCCATCAGATAGTCAATCCATCAATACACCCCAAGACCCAGCAGAGGATGCTCCAAAGAAGTGGAATTACCAGAAAGCTAATGGTATTTTTCTTTAAAAAAATTTTTTCCCTACAAATGGCTTCCAGAGACCTGCTCAAGTTTGAGGCTGGAGGGGAGGGGGACCACTAGCTGAGTTATGGAATGTGCACTGAGTGTCCCTGGGAATAGAGGCAGGGCCTGACCCTGCTTAAGAGAAGACACGTGGCCTGGATGGATAACAGATCCTTAGCGGGATGATGGAGCAGGCCCTAAGATGCGGAACTCTGGTCAAGGCCCAAAATATAATGGGCTCCCAAAGTAGTATGAAGCAAGGAAGGGGGTGGAGGAAAAACATTCAGGGATCTTGCAAGGCTGATTTCCACCGCCAATTTGGAAATATTCATGCCCCCCTCCTCTCAGAAAGCCCCTCCCATCTTGAAGGCATTCCCCCACCAATTTCTTCAAGGATTTTTGGAGTCAGTATACCAATCTAGTGGGGGGAATTCTGAGTCCAGTGGACACTGTGATGAGCATTAAGTCCCAAAAGGGACAAAGTTGGAGGCCCTGGGTATACCCTGCTCCCCCAAGCCTTCAAATCTCCCTGGACCCAGTAAACCTTTGTCCTTTGTCCTCACCAATCACACGCTGTTGCCCCAGCTCTTGAGAAGGGAGTTCTCAGGAGCAGGGAACTGGACTATCCTTGAAGCTGTTTCAAAGGAGACCCAGGTAATCATGCTGGCAGCTCTGGCTGCCCTTAAGCTCTCTTAAGGAAAACTAGTCCAGGCCCATGCGTGCTTTCAACACCTTTGGAGCACAGGAAAAGTGTATAGGGTAGCCTCAAGCCAGTCCCAGCTGCTCCAATGGTCCCCACTCTACTGCTGGCTAGGATGTCACAAAGATGGGGACACACTAACTGAGGCTGCCGTGAAGCTGGCAGGAAGTGTATGGAGCAGGTTCAAAGTGTGCAAGTGCTGAGAGGTCAGTCCCAAAGTGACCGCCCTCCTCCCTTGGCCCTGGGGGCCCAGCTGAGGTCCCCCAAACCTCCCAGCCCTCCCAATCACCGCCAATTCCGGCAAAACAGCAGAAGCTTCTTATACTCTAGATGCAAGGTACACAGAAGGCCATAGGCATAATTTGGGGGTTCACTAATTCTACTGTCTCCATGCAGTCGAGGAAATGGTGGGGCGGCTGGCCCAGCCTAGCTGGCTGCGGTGCCCGCACATGCGAGTGTCCACATGTGTACATGTGAGTGTATGCTTCTCTACAAGGAACCCCCCTCCCCACCTGTAATTCCCTTGCCTTATCTGACACCGGATTCGGTAGGCCTTAGGATTCCTCCCTCCCACATGGCTGACCCAAACGGGCTGCCTGAGATGACCCAGATTAGAGCCCAGAGAACTCTTGCCCACCAAGAAGTCCCACCCCCCTCCCTATTTGTAGGATGAGCATGGAGACCCCACCACCTGCCCACTCGTCAGGCCCGGTGGGGCAAGTGGACCGACAGATGGACAGATGCACAGCTAGGCAGCATCTGGATTTAGGTCCCACTCACTCCTCCCTAACCCCCCTGGACCAGGGCACAGTGACTTCTGGAAGCAGCACATTCCCCAGCACACCCTCCGACGATGACGCAGACAGAAACCTGCAGGGGAGAGGGAGGGTCAGGATCTTCATCCTCTTCATTTTGTGATAAGCCTGAATACTGAAAGACCCACTCACCTGGTGGTCTCCACGTTCACCTAGACCCCATAGAAGGCTGCCAGCCTCTCCTTGAGCAGTGGTGGGAACTGCTCTGAGAACTGTTGCCAGTTCTCCTCCCCGACTTGGTCTTTGAAGCCATGGAGGATCTGCAGAGGCAAGGTTGACAATGGGCTGGAACAAGCCGATGGTGTCTACTCCCCAAGACTCCCATGAACCAGCAGGAGCCTTACCTTATAAAACATGTCCCGAAGGTCATCCTTCGGGCTCACCCAGGAGGCTACAGCATCGCAGAAGAAAATAAAGTCCTGAAATATGACGGATCCCATGTGAGGGGCCGCCCAAGCCAGCCCCCGCCCTGCCCTCTGTGCCCCGCTGCGCGGACCTGCACAACACCCCCAGGATTGACACCAATCATCATGCAGATGCCTCGGAAGGCAGAATCCTTCTCCTCGTTGTCCCGGATGTTCCTAAGGGACGTGCACCTGGCCATGGAGGAGGGCAGCAGGTCAGTGGATGGACTTGGGGCTAGACAAGCATAGATGAAGGATGGCTGGAGGGAACAGGGAGGGGGGTATCCGTAGGTAGAGGTCTCCCACATGCATCCATGGGGGTGGCGCTGGGGAGCACAGCTGTTCTGCCCACCCCCAGCAGGCCCCACCCAGGCAGGCACACACCAAGGCCGGATGAACTGCTGCAGCATGGGTGCCACCTCCTGTGGGCACACGTAGCCCAGGCGGCCGATGGTGATGGCTGGAATGGCAGAGGGACTCGTCAGGCGACCTGCAACCCCGAGTGGCCCCGGGACGGTACGTGGCGGGGCCTCTGACAGGAGGCACCGAGCCCCGCCCCACAGGCCCCAAATGAACGACCCTGTGGTTATCCTGGGCCTTTGAGTTTGGCCCATTTGGGTGTCCTCCCCACCCAGCCTAGTCCCATATAGTCTAAAGCCAGTATTCTTTCTTGGGTTCCTCCCAGAATCCCATTCCAGGTGCCGACACCCTTCCTGGAACTCTCCCCTCTCAGCACAAGCCTGGTACTCACCTGTGTTTTCCAGTAGTGTCTTGGGCGTGTTGGGCCTGTTAATGATCTCCACCAGATTGTTGAGGACCATCTGCACATAGGGCTGCATCTCTGCCCCTAGGGACCAGTCATTTAGAGCCCTGCATGGCCCACTCCACCCACAGAAGGTCAGCTGGGTATTGCTGACTTCAGCCCATGTCCCCAGTTCCATGCAGACTGGTGTACCACAAAGCCCAAGAGCACAAAGAACCTCCTCGGGATGCTCCCAGTCAAGTCCACAGCCACAACAGACCCACCCAAAGGACTCTCTCAGGTCACTACCCACAGGTGAGGCCCAAGTCACCTAACTGATCCCACTGGGCTTTTCAGGAGACAATTACATGAGAAGGTCCAGCAGGAACAGACCATTTACCCCACCTCATAAATGGTGTTTTAGTTCTTTGATTTCACCTGTCAGGGAAATCAAAATATGTTCTTGTCCCTGGCCAATCAGAGGCATTCCTTTAGGGGGCCTATCTGAATCAAGGTCTGGCCCCCAAGATAGAAACAGAGCAATGAAGAGGCAGTCTGCTACTTTCAGGGCACTCACCCATCTGCATGCAGATCTCTCCAATGGCCCAGGTGGCATTGTTGCAGACAGAGATGAACTCAGGGTTCAGGTTGGTGCCCAGGATAGGCATGAACTCAGCTAACGGAAGAGAAGAGCAGGAAAATAAAAGACTGAGCAGAAAGGCCAATGAGGTCACATTCCCAGAACTGGCTGAGCAGCCCATGAGACAGCATGAATACATCCCAGTCCAGTCATTGGCGTCCCAGGGCATACCTCCATCACTGGACACCAAGACTGGGGCCATAGGATAGGGCAATGGGGGTAGCCTACCGATACAGGGCTTGACGTGGATAAAGCAGGCTTTGGTAAGGTCTCCCAGAAGGGCGAAGGAGCTCTGCCGGACCTCAGGCATGGAATCCTGGAGTTGGGAGAGGTGGCAAAATGACAGGGCTCCCACTCCTTCCATCCAAGCCAGCTGAGGTGGCACAGTCCCTAGAGCACATCCTGACCATAAACACTGGCAGAGGTGCAGGTCTGTCCCTTACCCTGTTAGCCCTCTCCTACTATGGCCTGTTGCCAGGACCTGGCAGTGAAGTTCATTGGTAAGCACTTCCTTAAAATGCTCAAAAACCCTGTTCCATCCCCAGCTCTCAAATCACAAATTAACAGATATATTAAATAGACCCTTTCTTGAGACAGGGTCTGTTGCACAAACCAGGCTGACTACTGGATGTGGCACCAGTGTCCACGTACATGGGGTCATCTTCCTCCATTGCTACCCAACCTTATTTTCGAAACAATTTCTTTCCAAACCTAAGCTCACTAAAACTAAAGTAGACAAGCTGGCCAGAGAACGTCAGGGATCCTTCTGTCTCCATTTTCCCAGATGGAATTACAGGTCCCCTGTGCAGCTGCACTCATTATTTTATCTTTGTGTGTATACTGGGGGAAGAGAGCTGAACAAGTGTCCTTGGAGGCTAACGTGGGACTCCAGATCCCTGAAGAGCTGGAGTTACAGGCACTTGTCATTGTCAGCTACCTGATTTGGGAGGTGGAACCAAACTTAGGTTCTCTGAAAGAGCAGCAAGTACCCTTAACCTAAGCCACCACTTCAGCCCCTGCCCCCATGGGTGATGGAAATCAAACACAGGTTCCTCTTCTTGTCTAACAAGCACTTTACTGACTAAGCCATTTCTCTAGCCCATACAT